ACTAACACTAGACAATAAAGTTCATAACAAATATCTAACTAACATACCAACCGCCCGAACGCCTAGTGAGCTGATATGGAGTGAAATGATAAAATGAATGAGTGGGGGTCGCATAATGCAGCTCCGGACGTGTGGTGAGGGTGGTAGCGGGTCCCGGCGAGGAGCCAACGAGACTGTCCTTCACTGCACCAAAAAATAAATACCTCCATTGAGTCATGATTTATACTAAAAGGGATGGTAAAGTACCCCTCTAAACTTCCTGAATACAAACCATCTTAAGATTATCATAAACTTCTCTGAAAGATACGTGGATCATAAACTATATCCCCATGGCAATCTGTCAAACTTTGCCTTCTTATTTACTCCTTAAGTTCACGTCCATTTGGCTTCTACAGCGAAAAAAACGACCACCAATGACCATTCTTGGAGCAGCAATACAGCGAAGGTTTTACAATAACTCTACCATCTTACTAGAACTATAAATTGTGTAGTATCTTTAGAGTGGAGGTTGAAATTCCTGCTGCTCTTGTGTTGAAGTGAACGAGGGGGAACCTTTGGCACACACGCTCGCAACCCTGAAGTATGGAGTCATTCAACCCTGATATAAGGAGTCGACCCAACCCTAATATAAGGAGTCGACCCAACCCAGAAAAAAGGTGTCGACCCTAATATAAGGAGTCGATCCCTCCCTGATATAAGGAGTCGATCCCTCCCTGATATAAGGAGTCGACCCTAATATAAGGACTCGATCCCTCCCTGATATAAGGAGTCGACCCTAATATAAGGAGTCGATCCCTCCCTGATATAAGGAGTCGACCCAACCCTGAAACATTCGACAGAAAATCAAATCCTCACACAACACTACAGTTACACAGACTTAATAATGTTCCCTGCTTGTAATACACTTTAACCAAATATACGAAAGAAAAAAATGCTAAATGAATCAAAACTTGGAAGAACTCAAACCAATGAGTTATTAAAAGACAACAAAAAGATTATGAATTGTTTTAATCTTATTTTTACCTGATTAACAGAGATGATCTGATAGGCGTGTTGAACGTGGTCATCAGGCAAGGAGGCGTCTTCCTCCAACACTTTGTAGGTGAGGCAAGTGACGGTTAGTGGATACAGCGTCACTGTAATCGCCACCACAGCCACCCATCCCGCCGCCACGCACCCCTGAGAAGGCCTCGGCGTGATAAATGTATCGACGTTATTATGTTTTCAATATTTAATAACCTGTTTGAATTGGATGCAGGAGGGGCCATAAATTTACCAGTCTACCTAATAACATATGCGCATCGAGTTTAAACTGAGTATTTATCTTTTTTTTTTCCTATATTCAACTTATATTATTGTACTCTCTTTACAGCGGGAGGTCTTGGCTATCCTCATACACACAATATATAGTCAGGTGTGTGGTTTTTCATCTTGACTGAGGAAACGGATCACTGAACATTAGCCCAAGGTTTGTATCTCTTTACATTAAACACCATATCGCTAAAAGAGGGGGGAGGAGGGGGGGATGGAGTGGTAAATACAATCTGAAAGAATGTTTGGAGTGGAGGGCCGTGGTAGCCAACCCTCAGACGCGTTGATGGAGTGATTGGTTGAGTGAGATAGTTTGGTCTAAAAGGAATCCATTACTGTGTGTATTTCTAAAGGTTAGTACTTTTAATTTATTACCAGTAAATACTTAGAAAAGATCTAGTAGCTGCAGAAGTCTTAAGTGTAATTTTAACGCCATTTCGACCACCGTCTTTGCCCTGTGGCTTAAGTGAGACAAATACACTCATGGTTCTCGTCCTCCGTCAGGGAAACATATCTTAACAGAGGGTTCACTGAGACTCTGAACCCCTGATCCGACTCTGAACCCCTGATCCGACTCTGAACACCTGAACCCTAGACTTGGGATTACCACGATATCAATGTGACCCCCCACATTGATATCGTTTTATATTAATAACAGTATTTAATCTAATTTCTATAACAAGGACTGGGGATCAATTAATAAACAAACGGCGATGTTAATTATTTATATCTCGTGGTCGATAATTGTGAAGAAATAAGTCCTTGAAATAAGAGTTTTGAGACTGTGGCCTCAATTTGTCTTGAAATTCTATGTCATTCATTGATAAGAGATATATGAGATAGATAGAGAGAGAGAGAGAGAGAGAGAGAGAGAGAGAGAGAGACTGGTCGTTTCTCAGCCGTGTACTCATGTTAAGAAGGTACCGTACTGTACACACGCCACTCAGCCACTTCAAGACCCGCCTTTGTTGTACTCAATACATTGAAGCGCTGCACAACATGCAACACACATCAGCTGAGTTACATTACGCACGCTCAGCTGTCACACCGCTCTTGAATAGATAACATTCATCCTGGATATACAGAGCTGGGTCTCAAGATGTTATTTATAGGAATGGTTGTTGTGAAGGGAGGAGGGAGCAGAGGAGGGCTATAGGCTATTGTACACTGATAATGAAATAATATAGGAGGTAATGCATCTCTTCTTTGCCTAAATATTCGGTAGATATTTATAATAATTAAACACTTGAAGAAGATATATAAACGGCGACATTGACTTGAGGGTATATTTTCCATTTATTATTTTTATTTTATTGTTTGACGAGTGAAAAAGGGATTTATTTTTTATTTTTCATGCATGAAGTTTAGGAATCGTTCCAAGGTGATTTACTGAGGTACTTTATGTGTTCAGATGAAGACTATGAGGTGTGTCACTGAGGTAATTATAACACAGGGTGACCTTGGGGACACTATACTGTATAGTAATTAGTCACCTCTGAACAACGTACGAGGGCCATGACGAAATTATCATCAAGGCTGCTTATTTTCACGATACTTACCAACATAGTCGTTTTGAAAAAGCGTCTCAGATCGACACACTACGGTTCTTTCTTCGCTACACTTTCGCTTGGTCCAATAGTGGGCGAGGTACACAATTAAGGAAGGCTCTTCGTAGGTCTGGTGTCGCGTACGAGAAATAATGAACGCCAATTAGAGGCTGAGGAGGTACTCTAGTGGCTGCTGTAGTGACCTTCAGGTGTAACTCAATGTCTTCCAGGCGGGAGCCACGACAGCACTGAGCGAGTCCAAGTAGTCACTGTACCTGCGCCCTCACCCACGGTGCCTGATGAATGTCCAGCTCCACCTAATTACTCCTGATACCCCGGGTGTTTACGATACTATAGCAGCGTGTCAACGATACTGACTCGAGTATTTTAGCACTACTTATATCCTTCATCTAGAATCTTGCTGACGTGCAACCCCTGTTTTTACTGATGGTTCTGTGCAGACAAACACAGGTAGATCAGATTGTGCATGTGTAATATATAAAGCAAATGCGATGATAAGTGTCAAACCTGCAATTACTCTAGAACTGGGCCAGCACAACACAAACTGAACTAATGAGAGTCTATCTAGCCACTGACTACCTTTAAGAAAATGGAGGTGGTGTGATATTCTGTGACTCCCAAAATGCTTTGTAATGGATGAACAGACCGTCAGGCTCAATGTATAAAGTTATATGTGATATTAAAAGAAATGTGATAACTGCCAAGGACAATGTTCTTCCTCTGTTCATCTGGAAATGTGTCAAAACTCATGCGTGTGTACATGTGTGGGTATACATAACATGTCAGTATCCACAGGTGTCTTTGTGTGCACGTTGGGAATGTACATGTCAGCGTATGTCTTAATTTCTCTCTGTTCATGAGAATGTGTGTTTAGTTTATGGTAACCTTGACATTTAATACAGTAGTGGAAATATACTAAATATTTTCTGATAACTACAGCGCACAGGTAACCTTGACACTCAACACCTGGGTATGCGGATACCTTTTGCTAATACACCCTATAAGTAACCTTTAGTTATATCTCCGTTAATGAATCATACGTGAGTGTGTTAAGGTGCCTCGGAGACAGTCTGTTGGAGTCAGTCACACTCTACAAGAACACACTGGCCCTCTCACTCACCCGCTACACTGTTACTTCGAGGTCTTCACCGCTGAGCCTCTCAAGGACTTCCAACCGCTATTGTTGGGGCGTATTTCTGGCGACCCTCTGACAAAATATTCAGTCAATATTTATTATATTTTGTGATGGAATAGGAAGAGATCAGTTGAAGATTAAGCACCCTAGCTTATTTCACTCGATAATTCAACACCCCAAAACTACCTGGATGATTAGGTTAGGTTGGGTTGGGTCAGATTAGTCTTAGGGTGTTTACTCATCAGGTGAAATAGGCCGGGGTGTCTAATATTCACGTGATCCTATTTAAGCAAGGATTACTTTGTTCATGATGGTATGTACACGTGAACCCGGGTCGTCTTCCATGTGAACCCGGGTCGTCTGTCGTGGGAAACCGGGTCGTCTGTCGTGGGAAACCGGGTCGTTTACCACGTGAACCCGGGGCGTCTACCACGTGAACCCGGGGCGTCTACCACGTGAACCCGGGGCGTCTACCATGTGAACCCGGGGCGTCTACCACGTGAATCCGTCTCTACCATGTGAATCTGCAGTCACATACACCCACTCCCTCTTCGTTATAAAAAAAAACCAAAAAAAAAAAACAAGGGTACTTTTATTTAAACTTTAACGACATGAACTTTAATAAAAAAAATATATATATTGTTTACATATCAGGCAAACCATTGTCTAGCTCACACCTCAAAGTACTGGGAGTGATGCTCTGTTGTTAGAAACTGGAATCGACAACTGCATTCCGTTAACCGTGACTTTAGGAGGATACAAACTCAGTGAAGAGTTGTGTGGGAGGTGTGTGTAAGGCCAGGAGGTCCAGGGGCCTCTACGTCACGGCAAATCATCAGGGAGAGAAAAATCTACGAGAGTGTCACGCCCGGTTTAACATGCAGGTTACTCACAGGTGTTACACAACAGATGTTCAGTCTAGGTCATCACTACGCACAGTTTTGAGCATATAAAAGGAGTCAGCAGAATCAATTGTCTATCACTGACGGGTTCTCCTCCCTGTCATCTGGTGGCTTGTCTACGTTAGCAACTTCACCTACGAACTCCCTTAGCGAGGTTAGTGCTTCGTTAGGGGCGCCTCAACATACTCTTCTATTCAGTATGTTTCCTGAAGACAGAATCGTGCGAACCCTTGCGATAAAAGTTAAAGTTTTGAAGTTAAAGTTTTAAATTTGAGATTAAGTCGTTAACGAATCAACTCTGACAATGATTTAACTCGTTGGTGTTGTGTGGGAGTAAGTCAATATGTCCACATAATAGTTTTCACCTGTAATTTATTAATACTTTGTTGTCTAAGTTTTTTTTAATGTTTAAATTTGTGTTACAGGATGAAGTGGATCATCAGTGTGGTGGCGCTTTACCTTCTGTTGGTGAGTTGTTGCTTCAGTATAACTTGTTGTGTTGGTGCTTCACTATATAACTTGTTATTGGTGCTTCACTATAAACTGTTGTGATGGTGCTTCAGTATATAACCTGTTGTGTTGGTGCTTCAGTATATAACCTGTTGTATTGGTACTTCACTATAACCTGGTCATAATTCCGGTCAGGCCTACATAGGAAGCTAACAACTGTAGATCGGAGTTAACACAGCGTGACACTCAAAGCATTTCTCTATTTCACAGGACCTGCCCGACCAATCTCACGCACAGGAAGGTAAGCATGACTGTCACTTGCCTGTTTAACACTGACCTATGGACACACACACATTTTTCAATCACCTAACATCGAAATTTCACATTGATATATACATCATGAATACCAAATTAGAATTAACCTTATGGAGACATCGAGTGAAAGTTACCTCCTCAAGTTTAATTAACCTGATATTATTTAACACCCGAAAGTTACCTGAGGGTTAGGAATTAAATTAGGTTAGGTTAGGATGAAATAAAATGAGCGAGGAGAGGGTACCTAATCACGTGATCGATCGAAAGTAACAATGAATTCTTCTTGTCAACAGAAGTCCCGTGTACCGACCCCTCCGCCACGATACCTTTACCCGACAACGTTTCCATCACCATCCATTCTCCCAACTACCCTGACAATTATCCCAACAACGAAAAATGTGGATGGATATTGGAGGTAAGGAAGAGTGATAAGAATGATGTGGAACTCTGAGGTAAAGATGTGTGGTGAGGAAGATTAAGATGTGTGGTGAGGAGGATTAGGATGTGTGGTGAGGAGGATTAGGATGTGTGGTGAGGAAGATTAGGATGTGTGGTGAGGGAGGAAGATAAGCGACAAAGGTATTATTATTTTTATTATTAATAGTAGTAGTAGTAGGCGGCAACAGCGCGGGGTGGGGTGTAATTGTGTCCTCCCTGATCTATAGTGATTTTGGGGAGGACATGCTCAGTAGGCGGGAGCAGGAATTTCACAGTGTGTCTGTAAATATCAGACGACACCGTAATCATTGCCACTGAAGGTTCTTCTCATCCCTTAAGGCTTTGGTTGCAAATTTTCCGTGTGTATACCAGCGATCACCAGGCGAGTTGTAAGTGTGTCGGTTGGTGGTGCCAGTGTGGGATAGGCCTACTTTAGCGACTCCCGCCCCTGAGGCCAGTGATACAAGGCCAACTATTCTATGAGGTCGTTGACCACACGTAAACAGACATCCCGGGAAGTGCCAGCCACCCTCCGACCATGTAAGACTTTATTACGTATACTTGCACCAGTGTGATCATAGAAATTGTGATTATTCCTGTCATAGATATACAAATAAGAGTCAGGTGTGACAATTCCTGCTCCCAGTGTATAATTCCGATTAGGAGACTGCTGCCTTCACCCCCCAGGGAGGCCTACACACCCATACCCACGCACTATGGCCCTACTACCCGGACACTGTTATCCAACCTGTCACCTCTCTGCCCTTTTCTCATAAGAAGAATTTTCATCCGAATGAGACCACTGCAGATATCAGTGGCAGACATCCCTGTTGCTCGAAGTGTGGAGCATTATGCCGGGCAACTGCTTTTGCTGTATCTGTGTTAGCCAGAACCAAAATTGCACAAGTTATGAATGTGCGAGAAACAACCGTCGGTGTATTGGGTTCAGGAAGAGGAACAATTGTCGGAATCTCCAGGGCATGGAGCCGTCACAGGAGGACACAGTCGATATCGCCCTGACACCACCGCCCAATGATATCCTGAATGATAGCGGTGATTCCACTCAGTCTGAAAATGTAGTGGCAATAAATGCTGCTCCAACATTAGCAGATGTCCACGAGGTGAATGACAGACAGCCACCACATTGGAATGGCATGTCGATGGAAAATGCGGACAAATGTGTTAAAGAAACCAACTCAAAAGTTGTCACGTGGTCGCCAGTTAACCTCTTTGAACCACCCAAGAGTGCGGCCACCAAAGAAATGATTCGGGAGATGACTCGCCTCATAATCGAGTACACTCAGGACAACTTCGTTGCCCCATTCTTCAAATACTCGCAATAATACCCCATCTATTCTGTCAGTGGACACACATAACGACTCAGTGCAAAGAAAATGTGGCAGCAATGAAGAGAAGATTGACAATGCTTCAGAAAGGGGTCCTTGATGATCTATTACGTGAAGCAAGGACACTGCAGCAGAGAATAAAATTCATAGGGGATGGAAAGCAAAACACCGAGGAAGTTGCCAGAAAGTTTGGTAACAAGATGTGGGTGGGAAAAGTGTCCTCGGCGGTAAGATCTCTCACAGAGGAGTCTTCCGGTGGTGTTCTACCAATAAACAAATACATTACAACAACTGAAGGAAAAACATCCCCCTGCAAGTGAAGAGGAAGGCATCAGATTCCAGGGTGCCTATATCCCTCCAAACGCTGTCATGTTTGAGAAAATAACAGGAGGGATGGTGTGGGAAAAAAAACACTGAAGGCACAGGGAGGGTCAGACCCTTCAGGCCTGGGCGCAGACGGTTGGAGAGTCATCCTCAGCATTAACAAGTTTAGTGCCGTAGCAAGTAATCTTTGCAATGCCACCGCCGCCCTTGTAAGAAAGCTAGCAACCTCGTGCTGCCATCACCTTCATGCTCTGATGGCCTGCCGCCTCATTCCCCTGGATAAAAATCCAGGATGTAGGCCGATAGGTGTGGGGGAAGTGCTGAGACGGATCATTGGAAAATGCATAATGGAGGTGGTAAATGATGATGCCAGGGCAGCTGCAGGGAACCTGCAAGTATGTGCTGACCACCAGGCCGGGAGGAAGCAGCCATTCACGCCATGAGAAAGATATTTGAGCAGAGTGATTGTGAGGCAGTACTTCTGGTCGACGCTTCCAACGCATTCAACCGCAAACCTACACTGCACAACATCAAGATCAATTGTCCTAGATTTACAGTGTATGTTGTAAACGCCTACAGGAACCCATCAGACTTCTATATAACAAGCTTCAAGGCTCTAAGAGGATATACCATCATACAGTCAACTGAGGGAACAACGCAGGGGGACCCTGTTGCCATGGCAATGTATGCACTAGGCCTATCCGTGCTCCAACACACAATAAATTTGAAACAACCACGGTCAAGCAAGTGGCTAATGCTGACGACCTTACAGGAGCAAGAAAAGTGGAAGACGTCAAAAAGTGGTGGGACATGATAACATCACGTGGTCCACAAATAGGGTACGACCCAAATACCAGCAAGTCCTTCCTCATTGTGAAGCTAGTACATAATGAACGGGCAGTGGAGGTGTTCGTCGCAAAGTGAGGTCAAAATAACAAAGGCGGGCCAAAGACACCTAGGTGCGGTAATCGACACGAAGGACTTCAAAAACGAGTACGTAACGGGAAAGGTGAATGAGTGGGCGAAGGAAATCCAAGCTATGTCTGAGATTGCTAAAACAGATCCACATGCGGCTTTTGCGGCATTCGCCCATGGAGTAAGGCATCGCTGGAATTACCTGATGCACACTATCCCTGATATCGGACCCCTCCTCTACCCTCTGGAAGAAGCCATCAGCGTAAATTTTATTCCCAAATTAGTGAAACACCTTCACTTAACCCCAGCAGAAAGGTCAATCATTGCACTACCAATGAGACTGGGAGGAATGGGATTGACCAATCCAGAGGAGCTTGTTGCCACCGAACATCAGAACTCTGTCAAGCTCACGGCAGCCCTCACTGAGCACATAATAGCTCAGAATGCAACAAGTGAGGTGGATACCAAGGAATTAAACAATATTCGACGGTCCATTACGAGAGAGCTACAGCACACCCAAAGTGATAAACTGCACCAACTGAGGCTGCAAAACCCAGAGAACTTGAAAAAAAAGTAGCTATAGCGCAGGAGGTGGGCGCCGCGAACTGGCTAACATCGTTACCGATAAGGGCAAAAGGTTTCAGTCTTAATAAGCAAGAATTAACAGATGCCATTGCTCTAAGGTATGGTAGGCCAGCAGAAGGTTTGCCTTCCCAATGCGTGTGTGGCTCTTCCTATGACATTGACCACGCCATGGTGTGCAAGAAGGGGGCTCCGTATGCTTGGGGCACGACGAAGTAAGGGACCTCACAGCAAATATGTTGAATGAAATCTGTCATGAAGTCAGGGTATAAAACCGACCCTCCTTCCATTGGACGGTGAGAATTTCCATCACAGGACTTCAAACACATCCAAAGAAGCCCGCGTGGACGTCAGTGGTCGAGTATTCTGGACGCGGGGACAGCGAGCCTTCTTTGACATAAGGATTTTCGATCCCATGGCCACAGTCACCGTAACCTAACTCTCGATGCTGCACACAGGAGGAACGATAATGATACGATCAGGGCATATGGGGAGACAATTCTGATTGTTGATCAGGACAGCTTCACCCATTTCGTGTTCACAACCTCCGGCGGGATGGGACCAAGTGCAAGATGTTTCTACGCCAGACTCGCGGAGGTGTTATCTGAACGGAAGCAGCAGCCCAGAAGTTACGTTACATCCTGGTTGAGGTGTCGACTATCCTTCTCTCTGCTTAGGTCTGTATTGCTCTGCCGGCAACAATCGCAGATATTGCCGAAGAGGCTACAGTCACTGAATGCCGCATAGATCTGCGGCTCAACTAACTCAACACAGCCAGGGTAGCTACTTATGTATTAGGTTATTTAATTTTAAGGTAATAAAACCGGCGAAGGTGTGGCTATTGGGGGAGGCTGGAGGCCACATAAAAAAAGTAGTAGAAGTATAGAATTAGTAGCAAGTTGAATTATTATATTTTAATAATTATGGTCATCATTCTTCAGCCATCAACCTCAGGCAGCACACTGTTGATGAAGTGCTCCTATGCCCTCGACCGGAGGAGGAGATCCCGAGACTATTTACAAGTAACGGCTGATGACGCGCAGTAAGTGGTCAAACATCTCTCTCCTCCTACTGTTAATTTAATGTTCCTGTCGTTACATGTATACAGTCGATATATCCAATATTTTCAATGCGATTAAAGACAGATAACTTTAAAACAGCATAACAAAGTAAGTGGAAAATGCATTAGTAACTTGTGTTGTTGTTAACAGAGCTGAGAGATACTACGGGTCGGGCAGTGTTGAGATTACGGCTGAGACAAGGTTGGACGTGTACTTTCAATCTAACAGAAAAAATACTGGCATTGGTTTCGAATGTACTGTCTCATCCATCCCTGCTGGAGGTGAAACCACTCCACCAGCACAGACGACTGCTTATAGTAAGTAGTTGTTTGCACCTGGCAGTAGCTTAGATCACCAATTATGACATAGGTAATTTTTTTCAGTTTCACCATTGTTTCCCCTCCCGATCGCCATGTTGGATCACATATTACACAGTTCCGGTCACATGACTTCCATAAAATGCAAGGATGTCAACAGTGTCACGTTTCAATATCCTGTTTCTACCATGAGTGTTGTAATATTCACCGATACTTCAATGGAAACCCGTAGATACTCAGGCAAATAATACCCAAGAAAATACTGATTTCAAGCAGCAAAAACGTGTGGTGAATGCTGTACTTTCATTTCATATTTATGTTTCAATAAATAAGACACACTAAGAGCGTTCGTCCTGAGTAAAATCAACTGCTGCCGCTAAAGTCTTGCTTCCATAATACAGTACAGGCACTGACGTCACCTGCCTCACGTACCAGACTCATACTGTGCGTGCATCTACCTTCTATCTTCACTTTGTTCTGAAGGTGTGAGGAAATTTCATAATATACGAGAAGTGCAGAAGTTTGTAAGATTTCATTAGGTTAGGTAATCGGTGTCATGGTGTCAGCATCTTTGGGTTAACATAATATAAAACATTTTCAGATGCTAATGACCAAATGTATAATGCTGGTAAAACTGCTGTCAGCTGGCAATACTTTCCACAACTTATACCAGGTGGGGTGAGGCTTCAACTAGGAAAGGGGCCACCATCTTGCGTAATTTTTCACCTCTCGCTATAGACCAGGTGGCAGGCCCCGAACACTAACACACACACACAGTGCTTCCCGTGTAATACAAATTACAAGAGGTTTTTCATGCAGAGAAAGAATTATTTTAAGGAACAGTAATAATTTAACTCATAACTTTAAATTGCATATTGGTTCTTGTTTTTCTATTCAACATTCGCAGAAATCAATGACCTTTCTGTATATAATCAAGACTAATTAACAACATATTATCACTCCTTTTTACTTCATAATTTGCCCCCAGAGTGTCTGGAGGCGACAAGAATCGTAGGTGGGCAAGTGACGGACCCACACGAGTACAAATTCCAAGTGGTGGTGAGAACTACAGACAATACTCTGTGTGGTGGCTCCCTCATACACCGTAAGTGGGTGCTCACCGCTGCCCACTGTGTTTCAGGGTGAGTACCAGGTTACACTCTCCTCTAACTTGCTTCAGGAAATACACCACAATATTCCCCTTCCTCCCCCTTTTTGTTATTAATACATACTAGCTTGCTTCAATATACGGAACTTCTGATTATTTGTCCATGCCCATAGCACCTTTCCAATGTCCCACGCCTGTCATACCTTCTCTTTGTTACCATAAACTCCCCAATTCAAGACCTTTCCAGGAATATACAGTATATGACTGCTGCATATCTAAGCCTAACCCATGTGAGTCTCCTGGGAATTTATCACATACTCTGTGTCACCAGGAGAGAGAAAGACTCCCCCCTGATAACACTCATACCAGTTAAGGGAAATTAATTTTATCTATGCCTTAATATTTAACCTTCTCCCTGTACTGATGGACCAAACTAAATCTTTCCCCAGTAAGAATCGTAACCAGGTATTTGTGTACCTGGGAGCCCACCAATATAACGACAACACGAATGAACGAGGCGCCGAGGATCTGATCATCCATCCACTGTACAACAGCAACAGTAAGTACGATAGATTTATTATACATTTATCACCTACACACAATAATCAAACGAGCTGATCATAATGAGTAGTAGAGTTTGATATGATTTAGCTGAGTGGATATTATTTCCCTTTAACTCTTGCGACAACCAGCATCATCTACTTGACCATCACTTATAGGTGTGGGAGGTATACGGGCTTCAAACATATATTTATTCACACATTTTTTTTTTTAGTGCTTTATCGTGTTGTTACTCTATAATGATGAGTCATGTTATCGATTTATACTTATGAATTATCATCTTAAAACATAAAAACTACGTATTTTATATTTCATCTACAGGGAATGACAACGACGCTGCTCTCATCAAGATAGCCGATGCAATGGCCTCTGATACCGTTGGCTATGTGTGTATCGCTTCCAACAGAGCAAACTTGTACTCTCAAGGGACCGCAACTGTGATTGGATGGGGTACTACGAGCTCCGGTAGGTGTCAGCACAAGTCATGTTATCACCAGATTTTTTTTAACGCTTTTAGTATCCTGGATAACTGGACGACGATAAATTTGCTTCAGCTAGTGTCATGCGATTCAATCTAGACGATAACTCTACTGCCATAGACTTTAAAGAAGTAAATGGGTATTATATTGAAAGGACATTTGCTATAAGATACAACTAACTCTGAGACATATTAAATAGTGAGGTAAAGACAGTTATAAGACATACAAATCTAAGTTTAAATTTAAGTTGTTCTGGAGTTTTTCGTGAGTTGATGTCATTATACTGAACCTGAACTGTGTGTGTGTGTGTGTGTGTGTGTTTTACTAGGCTGGTCACCTCTCATAACGTCCACTGAGTTATAAGATCAATAATTAACCAACACAATTATTTCAGGTGGATCCATTTCCTCTACTCTAAGGGAGGCCGATGTCCCTCTCATGTCTAACTCGGAGTGTTCATCACGGTATCTTAATTATGGCTCTTACATCACTGACAATATGATATGTGCTGGCCAACCCGGAACGGATTCTTGTCAGGTGAGGTGTTGTACGATATGTGCCTTAATGTGTTGTACTGCATGTTGGTATGTTGTTACAGATTCTTCAACACAATAATCTGCCTCAAAAACCACTTTCAGGTGTTGCTTACCCTCCCTCCCCCTCCCCTATTGTACCAGCACCTCGCCTCCCCTCCTCCTAACCTCATTGTTTTCAGTATATATTTATTACATTTTACATTCAGACAACTTTAGGTACCTATTTTTCTACTGATGCTGTATAGTTTTATTTTTGTTTTTAATTATTACTATTTCAATTTGTCTTTCTCCCTTACTCTGTTATTCCTCCTGTTCTGTCTCCCTCTTGGTATATCACTTCACGCATCTCAGTACCCCACCCCTATGTTAGAGGTACACTATACGCGGCATAATGTACTTAAAATAGCCTTCTTTTACGGTAGGGTGACTCAGGTGGGCCACTGCTTTACCCCGATGGCAGTGTTGATTACGTCCAGATCGGTGTTGTGTCGTGGGGGATCAACTGTGCTGCAGAATATCCAGGAGTCTATACCCGCGTCACAAGTAAGTGCCACCCGCCTCTCATAACCTAACCAAACCTAACCATCCGCCTCCCACAATATGACCAGAATGTATTTTCAACGTAACCTAAACAAACCTAACATAAAACCAGCCCAACCTAACCTAAACCAGCCCAACCTAACCTAACCAAACCCAATCAAAGTTAAAGCAAAATAATTTAGAGGAGTGAATGGTGACAAAAGAGACATCAATAATAAGAGCAACGGGTCGTTCATGAAGTACTGTACCGTATGTATGTAAGTCTCTCGGTCCTTGAATCACTAATAAATGAGATGTAATGATACCGGTTCACTGGCAGGAGCATTTAAATCATATAATAATAGTACACTAAGATCACTAAGGCTGAAAAGGTGACACACACACACACACACACACACACACACACACTAGTCACCACGTAAATTAATGTGTGTTAATGCAAACTGTTTACTCTGAACAGGTGTGAGTGACTGGATCGAAAATGTTGTGTCCTCAAACCCGTGATTAGAGCTAAACAAACTAATTACTCTGGACTGTCACTTGCCTGTCGACCTTGATGAATTAAGTCACCTAGCTGCCCAGGGTGCCATCTACCTGCCCAGGGTGCCATGTAGCTGCCCAGGGTGCCATCTAGCTGCCCAGGGTGCCATCTAGCTGCCCAGGGTACCATCTAGCTGCCCAGGGTGCCATCTAGCTGCCCAGGGTGCCATCTAGCTGCCCAGGGTGCCATCTACCTGCCCAGGGTGCCATCTAGCTGCCCAGGGTGCCATCTAGCTGCCCAGGGTACCATCTAGCTGCCCAGGGTGCCATCTAGCTGCCCAGGGTGCCATCTAGCTGCCCAGGGTGCCATCTAGCTGCCCAGGGTGCCATCTAGCTGCCCAGGGTGCCATCTAGCCATCATGAATACTATCTCAGCTGTCCGGCCTGTTCCTTACTGACCCTTCTATTATCTTACAACCTAATTTGTTATCTTAGAGCTGGTGTGTTACCTTACTACCTGGCGTTATCTTAGAGCTGGTGTGTTACCTTACTACCTGGCGTTATCTTACAGCTCGGTGTGTTATCTTACAGCTCGGTGTGTTGTCTTACAGCTCGGTGTGTTATATTACTGCTGTGTTATATTACAACCTGGTGTTATAATCCCCCCTGGACACGTTCCCTCAATAACTCTTCTTGATCATTTTCTCTCCAAGTTTGTGAAGCAATAAAACTAAAATGGCATAATGATTTTATTCTGGAAACCTTTTAATACTGAAGAGTCTGGGTAATACTGAACAAGCCTGGGTAATACTGAACAAGCCTGGGTAATACTGAACAAGCCTGGGTAATACTGAACAAGCCTGGGTAATACTGAACAAGCCTGGGTAATACTGAACAAGCCTGGGTAATACTGAACAAGCCTGGGTAATACTGAACAAGCCTGGGTAATACTGAACAAGCCTGGGTAATACTGAACAAGCCTGGGTAATACTGAACAAGCCTGGGTAATACTGAACAAGCCTGGGTAATACTGAACAAGCCTGGGTAATACTGAACAAGCCTGGGTAATACTGAACAAGCCTGGGTAATACTGAACAAGCCTGGTAATACTGAACAAGCCTGGTAATACTGGAACAAGCCTGGGTAATGAATGCAATACTGAACAAGCCTGGGTAATACTGGGCTGGGTAATACTGAATAAGCCTTCCTGGGTAATACTGAACAAGCCTGGGTAATACTGAACAAGCCTGGGTAATACTGAACAAGCCTGGGTAATACTGAACAAGCCTGGGTAATACTGAACAAGCCTGGGTAATACTGAACAAGCCTGGGTAATACTGAACAAGCCTGTGTAATACTGAACAAGCCTGGGTAATACTGAACAAGCCTGGGTAATACTGAACCATACCTTCCTCTATTATGTGTCTGAAGACGGAGAAAATAGATTAGGTTGAGACCCGCTTTTTTTTAGGTTAAGTTGGGGAATTGATGGAAGGCCTGCTGGGGCTCAAGGCACAGCCAGACATGAGGGATGGAGAAGTCACAACATATAGTCGTGGGGGGAAAGGTTGGAAAAGAGGTTTAATGAGTTAAACAGAGGGGGACGACACCCCTTGTTTTACATATTACAGAGTTTGTTGGCTAACTAAGCTAACCTAGGATTTAGGGATGAGGTTGCACAATGGTTACTTTAGTTGACAATGACTAGTTTGATTGTGACTTATTAAATATGAATTTATATCATTAAGTTTTAATCTAAGGTGGATCACTGGCGGACATAGATGGGTCGCGGGTTGGGTTGTTGTAGTGAGGGCAGACTCCGGGGCCACCAGGCGTGGGGTCGCCCTCCGTTGATGTCTTCCCCGCGTAGGTGGTCTGGGCTGAGGGTCGTCCAGGAGCTTATCCCAAACCTTCTTCCATAGGCGATGGAACCTGACGTTGAGGGCCTCTGTTTTATTTCTTAGGTGGATGGTTTCCACTGTCTCCTGGTAGGGTGGCGCTTGGCCACTGGCTGACCTCAAACACTTGCTTTGGAAGCTCTGTAGTTGTTGTAGTCTGGTCTTCCCGAGTGTGACGAGTGGTATATGTGGGTACTCCAACACAGGCCTCACCAGCGCCTTGTACAGGTGAACTTGTATCTTCTCAGGCATCAGTTTAAAACGTTTTAATTTGGCTGCGGCGACTTTGGCTTTATTTAGTCTGTCCTTCACGTGGGAAATGAGGCCTCATCATCTCTCGAGACCCGCTTAACACTCCACCAACTTAGGATGTGTGTGTGTGTGTGTGTGTGTGTGTGCGCGCGCGCGCACGGAAGTCGAGGTTATTGAGGCAACACAAGACTGGCCGGGAACCTCTGCCGGCAGACACGCTCAGCTGACGGTGACGGAAACATTTATATCCTCAAATATATCCGTAGCGATGACGTAAACTAATAACACCTGTGATAGTACACCTGTGATAGAACTCCTGCGATAGAACACCTGTGATAGTACACTTGCGATATAACACCTATGATAGTACACTTGCGATAAACACCTGTGATAGACAACCTGCGAAAGAACACCTGCGATAGAACACCTGTGATAGTACACTTGCGATATAACACCTATGATAGTACACTTGCAATAAAACACCTGTGATAGAACACCTGCTAAAAACACCTGTGATAGAACACCTGTGGTTTTAGATTCTCCCGGCTGAGGTGACGCTGACACTGTAGGCACGACACCCGGACCACCCCACGTCCTTCTCCCTCCCTTACCCTCACATACCCCCTCCCTCTCACCCTTCTCCCCCCCTTACCCTCACATACCCCCTCCCTCTCATCCTTCTCCCCCCTTACCCTTATATACCCCCTCCCCCTCACCCACCTCACACGAGTCTTATGTTTACGTGAGGTTGAAGACCGGGAAGAAAGTAAACACATTAATGAACACAATTTAGAATTTTGCTCCACTAACACAAATGCCTCTCTCGCACGCTTCATAACTGTTGAGGTTGTTCAAGGAGATCTGTTTTAGATAGTTGACCCAAATTTTAACACAAATGTCAAGATTCACGTTAATTATTGTTTTAATCATGTGTTCCCCAAGACACTGCACCGATACTCACTCTGCCTCCACTTCACCGTGATACAGCCTCGTGGGGTAGTGTTACATGTGCTTCTCCTCCAGGCAGGTGTCCAGGCTCTCAGTTATATCTCCTATAATCTATAATTGTTGATGGACCGGTGTAATTACTGATCTTGTTACGCACCTAAAAGACCCTAGTAGTTGAAGTAAGAACATCATAACTTCAATGACATTCAAGCCCAAAGGAGAACTCTGGATGCTAAGTACTGTCTTCACTCACCCACTCGTTCACCCACCCCGTGATGGTTGTTGCAGGTGTGTGACGCTCCTACAGGTGATGAGACGGGGAAGCTTCGTGATCCCTAAGCGTCAACACAGTCACACACAACACTAGATAACAGAGGTCGTAACAGATACAGGTCACAGATCAACCAACCCGATCGGCTAATATGGGAACAAGTAGCGAAAAATGATCAAATGAGTAAACAGAGGAGACGTGGGGTTTCTGAGTAGTGTTTGATAACGAGGAAAAATGGTCCTTGTGCCGAAATCCTTCTCTATCCTGACAAAAAGGACAACATTTTCCTCCTGTGACTACCACCGTAATGTACAAGCTTCTCAAGTAATGACGTCACGACTCACACAAGCATCAAACGCCATGTTGAACACGAGCGTCAGTAGCGTGGTTGACGACGCCGACGACAGTCACCATGAAGCTGCTGCTCCTCCTCCTCCTGGACCTAACCCTCCTGCACAAAGACGTTCGTGTGAGTACTGTACCTTCTACATGAGGGTCAAGTTCCGGTTCAGTTATGCCACTATAGTTTACTACTGTCACAACAAAACCGTTTCAATCAGTTCAGTAAATCGTCAAAGTATCTTTTTTTAGTGTTAATTATGTATGACTCAAAAAAGATCGTGTTTAAAGAATTTTATAGTTTTACTCTATAGTTCACGGTGAAATGGAGGCATAACTTAATGTGTCACCTGGCGGACAATATACCAGACAGGTGAACAATAACCAAGCTAGCCTTAACTATAGTCTCCTCACACAAACTTCACTAATGAGGCTGAGGATTAGTTTATAGCGAGGTAGCTGATTGGCCGGTTGACTGACTTGTCACGCTGAAAATTTTTAAGTATTTTTCTTGTTCATGATATTTATGTTACCAATACGTTTCACATGTTGATTTTTACCCATACAAGTGAGGAAATTATCAGATTTTTAACATTGAATAGTTATTACTCCTTAAAAAAAAACAAATATACACAAGAAAAATTAAATACTAAAGCTTGGTTGAACGATCCTGTGTGTGTTTTCCTGACAGCCAATCAGCTGCCTTGCTACAAACAACTTTAGGCCTTATTTGCAAAGCTCGAGTGAGGGAGGAAGATGCATGAGTTAGAGCCGATGAGGACAGAAGGCGAGCACTGTATACTCTAGCTAGGTCGCCACACCCTAGTTATGTACACAGGTTAATAAAACGATGAAACTAACTGGGGGGAAACCAAAATGGCCCCTAGGCGTACACACACACACACACGAGAGGTGGTAAAATATTATAAATGGGACCTTCGACTTCCTCCTACAAGAGAGCGCAGTCAACGGTCATATCCGGGATTCCTTGAAATTTCCCAAGTGAATGTCACCCATGTTCCCCGTCCTTGATACACGCAGTATACTTCACACACACTGTGGGTATACGTGTGAACTATAATAATTTGGTATACTCTCTCTCTCTCTCTCTCTCTCTCTCTCTCTCTCTCTCTCTCTCTCTTCTAGCCTTATCCCCACTTTCTCTTCTCTTTCCCTTATTCTTCCCTCATTTTCTATTTGCTACACGTCACGTAGTACGAAAAAGCTATACTGTATTTGGTCTATCACAACTATGGTCTCAATAGGTTAAGAGTTCTCTGATATGGACAGACAGAAAAACAGATAGACAGACAAACTGACAGACGGAAAGATGAAAAGACAGGAAGAGATACCACACACGCACACAATACTGAGACACGCTAAACAGTGCTAAGTCATAATCTATTAACGACCTTGTTCAGCGAGCCAGTGACGGGACGCTGCCTCACCAAGGTCACTCAGAAGTAAGATAGATAGATAGATAGCCTTTACCATCACCAGTTTACGGTCATTATCCACGCTGTCTGTGGTTTGTCGTGATTTACTGATGCATCATGGTCTTCCGGCAAATTAGATGCAAGTTTTACCGACTGGATACACTGTGACGATAGATGGATAGTGAGTAAAATTCTCATACAAGTTGGTAGTGATTCAGCCTCGGTAGTGGGGGTATTGTACATAAAGTTTATAGAGAGTGAAGGTATACAAACAACGGTAAACAGGGTAGCTAATTTGATAAAGGATTACTCAACAAATCGATGAAGGATTACTCAACAAATCGACGAAGGATTACTCAACAAATCGATGAAGGATTACTCAACAAATCGATAAAGGATTACTCAACAAATCGATGAAGGATTACTCAACAAATCCACCAATTGTTTATCCACCTGACCAGACACCTCATGAGGGTCAGTGTGTGGTAAAGTACAGGGACACACACTCATTAAGATTTATTCATAGGTAAATTTCCTCATGAACAGTCTCAAGGTAATATCTGTGTTGATCACTTGAGACAACGAGACACGTACGACTGAGCGGCACTGAGTCAGGTAACCAACAAGCAGGAACTCGGGACATATTTTACGAAGCGAGGATAAGAGGGAGCAATAAATGTGTACCGCCGTGCTGCTCCCCATAAACGAAAATGGTTCCAGGATGATGCGAAGTTACTTGTCAACATTCAACTTGGACTGTATATTATATTTATTAATTGTCTGTGTCTGTATAATATTCTTCAAAGTTATATTACTATGTACAGTATATACACATTGCTGTAGGTATGTGTTGTGTTATAATGTATGTTTGTTGTGTCTCCCCACAGTGCCTGGAAGACCAGTCTGCTACGTTGGGTCAGTATACACACACACACACACACACACACACACATGTTAATCTTTATGTTTAATAAATTCAACTCGGGTCCACCTTGGTCATATTAACTCGCTTCTTCACAATGTGTTCATCCATCACCTGCATTGAGGAAAACGATAGGAACTTTTTTTTTTTGCATTCTAGAAATTTTGTATCCCAACCTCGTCAACCAAACCTCAACCACGTATAGCATTAGTGTCTTTAAATCAACAGGCGAGCTATATAATGTGTCAAATGATCAAACTAGTTGATCAAGCAGGTCTTAACAGTGTATAGTGTGTGGCGTGTGGTGATCAAGGCCAGTACAGTAGAAATACATTTTTATCTCACACTAACCTTCACAGTGACGAGAAAATGCGGAGAGAGAGAGAGAGAGAGAGAGAGAGAGAGAGAGAGAGAGAGAGAGAGTAGATTTATCAGGTCATTCCCAATATCAAACTCGGAGCAATAGGGAAAGCTTTGGAACTGGGGGAGGAATGGATGGGAAGTGGGAGGGCGGAGGGACAACTTACCTACCAAATTAAAAATTGAAATCCATTGACCCTTTCAACTCAATATATAATATGACGCAATTCCTAATCTCCCCCCAAAGCCTCAATGGTAATTTTCTAAGATAATGCCACACCACAACTACACATTTAAGTATCCCCTGTACTGTACTGCCTTACCCGGAAGTGACGTCACTCCACAATGCACTACAATATGTATTAAGGAACAGATGACAGTAGTTAATATACAACTTATAAACGAAGATAAATATATTACTATTATTATATCCGCCATGTTGTAGTGGACTGGTCCGTGGCGGGAACACCATATAACTTCTGAAGGCTCGAACGGATTTTCTTGAAGCTTGTTAGGGTCGCTGCTCTCTTCCCGAACTAGGAATTGTTATTTTAACCGGTTGTTTGGATCACCTGAAGATTAGCCACGCCAGTTTATTTCATCTGGTGATTAAACACCCTAACGCTACCTGGGGGTTAGGTTAAGTTAGATTAGATTAAGTTAAGTTAGATTAGATTAGGTTACGTGAGGTTAAGTTAGTTTAGGGAGTTTAAACTTCAGGTGATTCGGTTATTTTGAACTAAGGAACGTCCTTAACTTTTAAGCGAACACATACCGTACATACATACGTATACACACATATAGTCATCGACAAAAACGAGATTTCCCGACAGCTCAGACGAGAACAGTAATAAATAAGATCCCATTAAAGCTGACGCTCTGACGGCTATTTTACTCACATAATAGTCCCACAAACAGCATCAGTCCCTGGTGTATGGCCGTGACAGGTTAACACCACACCTTCAGGACGCAGACAAGACGACGAGAGCTGTTCCCTAACATCCGGGGAACTCATTTGGATATACTACAGTAAGAGTCCTTAACACTTCAGGGAGTTACAGGAAGCGTTGAGTGAGACATGGTGCAGTGCCGAGTTGGCCTAGTCATGGGTGGGGTGGGGTGGCACTGCTGTCTCGTGTATTCATCCTCAATACTAAACGACCCATGAGTGTTTCAACATCGTCGCCGCTTCTCACACACAGATGACCTGGGCTGCTCTGCCACTGGGGTAGAGAGGGTGTTGGCTGCTGGGGACACGGTTAAGATCACCACACCGAGGTACCCTTGGGCCTATCCAGGCTTCTCCCAGTGTGCGTGGAACATCAAGGTAAGTACCGAGGTATTTATTGATTAAACACGGTGTACGTTACAAACAAAATCTGTACTATATGAACTCAGGTGAACTGCCATTGTTACTTGTGTGTGTAAATATTATTTGGTTGCCTTGGACAGCGAGGCGCCGACACCTTGATGCTCAAAGTACAGTGTGATGACTTCATGTTGGAGTTCCCCTCCAGAAGACAGACGTGTCGAGACTTCCTCCGTCTGAATAGCGACGTGTGAGTTGTGTTTACGTGTATACACACACACACACACACACACACACAATACAACAGGTTTACGCTTAGTCAATTGAAACACAAAACTTCATTTACAATTAGTAATTTGCCTAAATTCCTAGACGATCACAATTTGTCCTTTCTAAAATAATAACTTAACCCTCCCATCACGTAGCTAATCTGAGAGTGTGTTAACCCTGAACAAAATGGTAGTATACAATACATCACAAAGATGTATGTTAACTTTCTCGTTTTAATATTAAGAACGAGGAATAATTTCACGTGGAGAAGACTTTACGAGACTTTTACACCTTCAGTTCGACGGCACAAACCTCAGCGTAATGTTATATCTCCACTGTGGACAGGTACTGCACCAAACAGACGATCTCCCTCACCTTCCACGCGGACCTGGCAGCCTTATTCAAATCTAACAGCAGGAGAGGGAGACGTGGATTCTCTTGTACTGTGACTGCCACGAGTAAACAACCTCGTATGGCTTCTTCCCTCACAGCTCAGCCTTCAGAAGACGTTGCCACTACACAGATGGGTAAGTTATCCTCCGTTATGTTAAAAATGTTGTGAAGAAACGTGCACAGGAGAGATGCAACAACATAGTGATACAGGTGACGTTAAATAAGAAAGTGTAACTGCCTTGGACCTTATTAGTGAGGGGCCTGTGATATATACTGTGCACTTGAGCTGTCACTGAAGATAACAGTGTACATAGGATCACTGCTTACTGTCGTATTGAAATCTCCATGTATACTGAAGGTGATGAACCTCTTAATATCCTGACCTTACCTTTCGTTATTCTTAATCAAATAAATTCTTATTCCAGAAAGGATCTAAATAAATTACAATAAGGTAAATAACGAAACTATAGTATTCGTGCTTTATATGACCTTGATCGTGAGGTTTGACTTAGTTCAACACTCTGGGAAACAAACTCGTGATAATGAAAGTTAAGAGAATCAAAACCAACGCCGAGTAGTGACATGTTAAGTGACAAACAATACAATTAAATCATCATTAACTTCAGCAACAAACTTAAGACTTTCATCAGATGACAATAATACAAACAAACAAACTGAACAGAAAATGCTTCACTTACTTGACTTTTCAATATTCATCGAGCATTGTTCCCAGCCAATGGTCGCCAAACACAATAACCAAGTAGTAGGAGACAAAAAACATACTTGAAGATAATTAACCCAATAAACGCCTTTCTTGACTTGACTGATAGGCATTTTTCGAGCGTGAGGGATAATAATTGATCATGTGCAGCATAACAACTTGGTCATGTTTACCAAGTGTCTCCCTCCCACAGTCAAGCCGGAGTGTTCAGGGGCCAACAGCCAAGAGGTCATCCTCAACCCTGGAGACACCGCCCACATCACCTCCCCCCGCTACCCGGAGGCCTACCCCAACAATCTACACTGCAACTGGCTCATACAGGTGACGCCAGGGGCCTCGCCGTCACCGTTACCGTGTACTCTATTCCTCCCCATCTGTTTACATCTTTATTCTAAGCCCATGTTATGCTGGTCTTTCTTATTTATCATTTGTTTATGTATAATTTCTAGTAACTAGATTATCCATTTGTCAAAACTTAAAGAATGTTGCTAGTATTAAGTAGTTTACTATGCACCATTGTTACGGAAATAACCTTTATGAACTGTTCATTTTTTATTACTGATCCAAGTACTGCTTTACCCCTGAAAACCCTGATCATCACTAATTATTCTGCAGGGGTCTGACCCTAGTGTGGCCCTGAGCCTCTTCTGCGAAGCCTTTCACCTACAGAGTAAAGGTTTATGGGGGCGTGGGTGCTTCGACTACCTCCGTGTTGGCACAGGTGTTCAGTGAGTATACCAGGCTTTCAAAGTTGATGTAAACACTCATTATATTCACTTATAATATACTACTCATCCAGTACAGTCTGTAATGTAACGGCATCTGAATGTTCTCCTGTCCAAATCTGATTTTAAAGGACCGAGTCTAGCTTCGGAAATTAGAGACTAATATCACCCATCACCTGACTGTACCTCTCAGCTCAGGTGGAATATATCTGCACTATTTCACTGCTAGGTTTTCAATATTCTTGTATGTCAGTTAGCAGTTGTGTCCCCCGGCAGGTATTGTGGAAACCGTCGACCCCCGACGCAGGTAAGGAGCGGGTCGCTGGCCCTGGCCTTCAAGACGGATGAGGCAGTCAACAGACCAGGCTTCAGCTGCTATGTGAAGGCTGAAGGCGGGGACACTACTGCTGCAACAACCACAACTGTTGCCCCAACAACCACACCTGCTGCCCCGGCAACTACAACCCCAGCCGCATCCACTACAGCTGTTACCACGACAAGAACGCTAGCTGCCATATCTACTAATGTTGCCCTGACAATCACAACTCCTGACACCACAACCACACTTACTGCATCAACAACCACACCTGCTGCCCCGGCAACTACAACCCCAGCCGCATCCACTACAGCTGTTACCACGACAAGAACGCTAGCTGCCATATCTACTAATGTTGCCCTGACAATCACAACTCCTGACACCACAATCACACTTACTGCCCCAACAACCACAGCTGCTGCCACAACTACAACAGTGACATCTCCTTGCATTGCAATAACTATTATATCACAGTTTACGATTGGTTCTCCTCCTTACACCACAGTAGCCACAGTCTCTACCATTACAAACACACATCCTCCTGCAACCACAACCATCACCTCTACACTCACAACCTCTGTACCAAGTTATTTCCTATCCTTCCCCTCAGCCTTAACAATAAATAACCCAACTACAACCATCTCTAGCGTCGTGTCCATGGTTACAACAGCCGAAGTAACAACACCTGCCACCACCGACCCACCTCCTCCTCCACTACGTGAGTACTTGAGGAGGATCTTTTTCACTTAATTCTATTGTTTGTTCCTGATGGCGTCTCAGTCACTCAGCTACAACTACCTCAACCACTTCACCTTCTGTTTTGTATTGTTTAAAACTACCATTACCACCATAAGAGGATGTTGTAACCCTAATAAACATGAATTTAACCCCACGTATGAATATGGTAACACTTGACTCTCTGCTTCAGAGTGTGGGGTGAGCAACAGACCCATGCTCAAGATCGTGGGCGGGAAGGAGACAGGGGAGCACGAGTTCCCATGGCAGGTGGGTCTGATACACAAGGGGGACAAGACCCAGGTGTTCTGTGGCGGCTCTGTCATACACCCCAAGTGGGTCATCACCGCCGCTCACTGCCTCGACTTGTAGGTCATCCTGTGTGTGTGTGTGTGTGTGTGTGTGTGTGTGTGTGCCTCTGACTTACATTATAATTTTTGTCTCGGTTTTAGTGAACTAGTGACGTGTGTTGTCTCACAACTAATTGGGGAGAGATGTCAGCCGGTAAACATAAGAACATAAGGAGTCTGCAATAGGTCGGTTGGCCTGTGCATGGCAGCTCCTGTCGAGTTACTACCACTCTCTATCATCCATGAATCTATCTAGCCTCCTTTTAAAACTTTCCAGCGTTCCAGCACTTACTACAAAGTTACTAAGCTTGTTCCACTCATCTACCACCCTATTTGTGAACCAGTTTTTTCCTATCTCCCTCCTAAACCTAAGCTTATCCAACTAAGAGTCCTGTCCTGCTCGGATATTATAAGAATTTTATCTATATCTCCTTTATTGATTCCTTTCACCCGCTTAAATACTTCTAGCATATCTCCCCGCACTTTTCGTCTTTCTAGGGAATGCAAGTTTAGTTTCTTTAACCTATCCTGATATGGAAGGTTTCTAAGTCCCGAAATCATTTTCGTCATTCTTCGCTGCACCGACTCCAGTGAATTGATATCCATTCTATAATAAGGGCACCAGAACTGAACAGCATAATTGAGGTGCGGCCTGACTAGCGCAAGATATAATTGCAATATGACCTCCGCAATCTTATAAGAACATTAGTACATAAGAATGCAGGAAACTGCAGCGGCCCTATTGGTCCATACTGGGCAGTCCCATTTACACCCAACCCCTATTGCTCATATATCCATCCAACCTATGTTTGAAGCTATCCAGCGTATTGGAGTTAATGATGATATTTGGTAACTTGTTCCACTCGTCCACTACTCTATTTCCAAACCAGTGTTTACCTTCTCGCGCCTAAATCTAAATTTGTCTAATTTAAAACCATTGTTACTAGTTCGCTCCTGGTTGGATAGTTTGAGTACCTTTGTTTTATCACCTTTGTTTAGCCCTGACTTCCATTTATACACCTCTATCATATCGCCCCTCACTTACACTTCGAGATATAAAACCTAATACCTGTACTCTGTTTGCCTTATTTAGAACATTAACGCACTGTTTTCTAGGCCGAAGGTCCGGGCTTACAAGTACCCCCAAGTCTCTTTCACAAGTCGACTTCTCTAGGTTGATGTTGTTAAGGCCGTATACATTGGCAGTATTTGTTCTTTCAAAGTACGCTGCACTTGCTGGTGTTGAATATCATTTGCCATTTTTCTGACCACTCCTGATAAGGTCGCATGAAAGTTCGGAACCCCTACTGTATTTCACCTGACGATTAAACACCCTAATGCTAACCTCCCTCCCCCCCTACCCCAGATAGGATTAAGGTATTTAATCATCAGGTGAAATAAGTTACGGGATTAATCTTCAGGTAATCTATTAATTACTCCCTAAAATAGCATAAACATCCTGAGTAGTAGTATGTTAATCAACCTTTTGAGTGCTTGTGTGAGCAAGTCTGTTTATGATTCAGCATAGTGGAAGATGAGGAGGAGTATCTGTTGCTGGTGGGGGCTCACAACCTGCTGGAGGGGGAGACGATGCAAGAGCGCCAGATCAAGAACTTCATTATCCACGAGGACTATGACAAAGGTAACTCACTCACTCTCTTTATCGTCTGGCCCAGCTACCTGTTAGAGAGGGGTGGTGAAGGTAATATAATAACCACCTGCTGTTGGAGATGACGTTTAGTAAAGGTAACTCTCATACAGGTAGATACTGACCAATATAAACATCACTTCGCCAGAGAACTTCTTTACGTTGGTCGATGGTTCTATGATGAAGCCACACGATAATCTTTAACTCGAACGATATAGTAAAGTAAACGATAAAGAAATCAATTGTTCAGTCTTCTCTCTCACCCATTCCCTCAACAAGAGATGACGGCACACGACATAGCTCTAGTGGAAGTGGAGGAGCTGGTTCTAACGGAGGAGGTGTCTCCCGTGTGCCTGCCTGACCCAGACGACCTGTACAGCGGCGTGCAGGCCACCGTCACTGGCTGGGGTACCCTGTCTGATGGTGGGTATGATCTATACAGTGTACTATCTCCTGTCTGGTCGTTTAACTCCCTGTCTGTCTGTCTGTCTGTCTCTTTCACCCATTTCTCATTCTTTTTCCTTCTACCAATTATAAGTCAACCTGTTATATAAGTCAACCTGTTACATAAGTCAACCTGTTACATAAGTCAACCTGTTACATAAGTCAACCTGTTACATAAGTTAAGGCAGCCTTTGTGTGCTTCAGGTGGGCAGGCGTCGCCGAAGCTGATGGCCGTGACGCTGCACACCCTGACCAACGCCGAGTGTGAGGTGAGCTACGGCACCAGAGTCACGGAGAACATGCTGTGTGCCGGCATGACCAGGGGCGGCAAAGACTCCTGCCAGGTGAGGGAAGACACTACTGTAGATGCCCCTTCAGGAGTTTTATATAGTAGTGATGATATATTCTAGCCAACGTCATACAAAGGTTGTCTATAAGGATATATTGTCTACTTATGGTCACTATATCGCCCTCTACAACCTCTATACATTCAGTTAAGGAAGAGCCTTGAGGATTAGAATATCTTGTGTTTGGGTGTCAAGATGCTTATGAAGCTCTCTGGATTTTTTTTACTAGTTACGATCTATTAATAAGAAATAGGTGTGTGTGTGTCTAACAGTATTTCTACCTCCTTCAGGGTGACTCAGGAGGCCCACTGGTAACACTCAACAGTGGAACGGGCCGCTACCAGATCATCGGCATTGTATCGTGGGGCCGCGGCTGTGGTGTGGCGGGTTCTCCTGGCGTGTACACCAGAACCAGCAGTAAGCTACCTTTCCCTGGCTATTTTTTTCCCCACTGGCTAGTTTTACTCCCCCAGCTGGTTAGTTTTACTCCCCAACTGGCTAGTTTTACTTCCCAAGCTGGATTGTAAGAAATGACATTACAGTTAAGAACCTGTTAAGAGACTGCAAGAAACTGTACAGCATGGGGAACTGCCATTAGGTAACCTCCGCTAATAATGACTTTGTAACTCCCTGCCATGGCTTTTTTCTTCTGTTATATCACATCTGTTTCTTTATATTATCTCCTCAATGAATAGATTTAATAACTACACCTGTTTCATCTCTGTATTTATCTGTTTGAAGACACTACTAATGTACAGTGTTCTCCTCCACAGGCTACATTGACTGGATCTTGTGGCATTTTGAGAACGACACCACCACTGGTTTGATGTAACTCCTACCAGGTGTACAAGGAACCTAGCTAGCTGGTGTCCTGTCCACCGTCTACCTGTTCACTGTCTACCTGTTCAATGTCTACCTATTCACCGTATGGCTGTCCACTGTCTACCTGTCCACCGCCTACCTGTCCACCCTGTCCACCATCTACCTGTCCACCGTCTACCTGTTCAGTGTCTAGCTGTTCAGTGTCTAGCTGTTCAATGTCTACCTGTTCACCGTATGGCTGTCCACTCTACCTGTTCACTGTCTACCTGTCCACCGCCTACCTGTCCACCGTCTACCTGTTCAGTGTCTAGCTGTTCAATGTCTACCTGTTCACTGTCTAGCTGTCCACTGTCTACTTGTCCACCATCTACCTGTTCAGTGTCTACTTATCCATCGTCTACCTGTTCAGTGTCTACTTATCCATCGTCTACCTGTCCACCAAAAAGGTAGGTGGACTAGGGGTGCCCCGAGGGTTAACCATATTTCACCACGATATATTTTATTTGAAAAGTAAAACAGCAGATGAGAGAAGAACATAAGAACATAAGAATGGAGGAAACTGCAGCGGGCTTATTGACCCATACTGGGCAGTCCCATTTACTCCCAACCCCTATCGCTCATATATCCATCCAACCTATGTTTGAAGCTATCAAGAGTATTTGAGTTCATGATGATGTTTGGTAACTTGTTCCACTCATCCACAACTGGATGTCTGAAAGGAAGACCCAGATAACTATGAGACTCCCTACCCGCTCCGGGTCACCAAGTTCTGGCTGAATCTAGTTTCAATCCCATATTGCAAAAAGTTCAATGAAAAATAACTTTTTCATAATGTGATCCACTCTGGACTCGATGTTTGGTAATAACAAGAACTGGAAAATTACTTAAAAGATAATGTAATAATGGCATAATGGAATTCAAAGTTCCGGAAGTTGATTGAGTTAATGATATACGCAAGTCAATATATAGAAAATCACCGGATCAAGAAAATTTCCCGAGTGATTTTATACAGCAAACGTGATCCCGGTCTTCAACACGGGAGGTAACGGCGACTTACTCAGTTAACGGAGACGCAAGACTCACGAGCAAGTACAAAAACAACGATAACTGATATATAAAGCTGACTTGGACATACCTGAAGTGTGATGTGTTGTGGTCCCTCGAGGAGCTGTTAACTTTCACCTACCTGGAAAAAGAAATCCTGATTAGCCTTCCACCACCACTTACTCCTTTAAAAATGTTCGTAAAGGTTAAGGAGAAAGTCGCCACTTATACCGCGTTATATAGTGGCAGGTTCTCAAGGATGTGTTTGTTCAAAAATAAAAATGCTTATTATGAGGGAGTATATTAAATAATGATTATGTACCTTTAGTAGCACCTTTATAAGTGTTCTTACGAAACGGCGACAGACGAACAAAGCCTACCATATCACTAGATATTAAGTAAGATAATTATGTTTGGTTTAATCGATATGACTTATGCCACCATTAGTGGTTTAGACCTTCAACCTTCCTGAGGGAGCTTTGATGACAAGTTCATAAAATTCTGAAGAAAACTGCTGTGTATATACAGTATATTTTACATTCCTACATCTTTTCTTTCTCCTATTAGTTAAGCATCTATGTTTACCAACAACTAACAGGAACAACCACGACACTAACAATGTTTTTAGTTAACAGCAAAAATTAATAAGACTTTTCCATTGTGACATAAATAAGAGCAGAAGTAGTGCCCACCTTGCCTGATGGTAGACGAAGCCTTGGCGTCACCCGCCATGTTCTGGGTCACGGACCATTCCGTCTGAAACAACATTCATGAATGAGGCCACAGTTTTGCTTTCATTACTCTAATTATAAACAACTTTATTGATCTTTTAACCGAAATTCTATAAACAGTAACACAAGAGATGGTGGATACTTCAATCCCTTAACAAGGATCAACAGACCTCCTCAATATAGCTTGACACAGCGAAATACAATGTCATAATGGTCACAACCCAAAATGTAACTCACAAACCTACAGTACACTGACAATGGACGAGTTGTCGGTCGGAATATTTTCGTAAGAGGACAGGTCAATGGGTAAAGAAAGCGCTTAAATTCACTATGGTAATAATATTTTTAAATAAATTGGGCCAAAATGTGTATAACAAAAAAGGTAAAAAGTCAAGTGAGCGAAAAGCTCTGTGGTTGGTTGTGACGTCACTGGCTTGCTCGAGCCGCCGAGAGGGAGCCTGGAGACAGCTGCTGGTGACCTGGGTGTAACAATATTGATAATTACTCAAATATGATTAAAAATTTAATATAAATACTCATAAGATACTTTAAATAAGGGTGAACAAGTTGATTACAGTTCTGTAAGTGCAAAAATTAAGACGAACAAACCTGAAATTCGTCGTATTTCCCGTGTAAATATGCGAACACCTAGCCACAAGAGACAGTAGAGTGGGTTAGGAGACTGGGAGAAATTTTATCTTATTTTTTTTTTTACGGGCATTTGCCCACCCGGGCACAGGTCTTTTTTAATGACCCACATCAAGGCCTGGGGGGCGAAAATAAAATGATGATGATGATGATGATGATGATGATGATGATGATGATAATAATAATATTAATAAAATTAATAAAAATATATTAATAAATAACAATTATAATAAAAGAAAATAATAATAATAGTAATAATAATAATAAAATTAATACAAAATATATTAGATAAATAACAATTATAAAATAATAATAATAATAAAATTAATAAAAATATTTAAAAATAAATAGCAATTATAATAAAAGAAAATAATAAAAATAAAAAGTTATAAAAGTTATAAACAATAATAATAATAATAGCCCCTGTAATAATAAAGAGCCATAAATAAATACAAAACAAAAAATAAAAATAAAAAGTGAGAAATGATATATGTGTTGTGTTGTCAATAGTAAGAGAAACAATTGAGACCCTGCAATTGTGTGTAAATGAAGCAGAAAGTCAGATCAGCAACCTGGGACTTGGTCACAATTTTTGTGATGCCCTATGACAGCAGGGTCTACCACTAAACAACACATTTTGCTTCCAATATCTTCCCAGGCGGTAGTACCAGTACCTCCATGTTTGATAGCTGCCTACTGCCTACTTTTCAATGGGCCCGATTTTTTTTATTCTTATTTAACATTGACCAATTGACTTTTTTCTTTTTTTGTCTTTCTTTTCATAATTTTCTATATATTTTCTTCACTATTCCTTTCCGTATTGTGTCCAAATAACAGTTCTCCTAATTTTATTGTTTTCTGAAGACAGTGTTGTACAACAGTTATTTCCAAGACATGGTACAATGTCGTATTTTTAATGAAAGTCCGGGAAAGCTAACGTGTTTGCTATTCCGTGCACCTTAAAACGCCTTATGTTACACTGAAAACTGGTTAACATAGACGTCATTATTGTTAACACACTAGCAGCAAATTTGCTTATTTCCCATTTAACTACAGTATATTAATGTCTATGAACCTCTATTATTCCGCCAAGTAATGCCTTGCTATCTGTGTTTTTTCGTGGAGTAATTGCTATGTTTTTAAGGGAAAGTGGTAATGGGTAAATATTCGTCCATTGGTTGTCCTCAAGTTTTGGTATGAGAATAAATTTTGTTGGTGTTTTTCGGTTGTTTTATTTTTCAAATTAGCTGTTTTAGCAAAAAATTAATATTTCAATTTCTAACAAACCGCTAATTTGCATTTTTTTTAGTAAAACAAAAACTCATACCAAAGGAACCAACCTACCTAACCTACAAGGAGACAACTAACTTTAAGTGAGGAGTATAACCTCAGGTGAACATGGCGGGAACCTGCTGACAGCTAATGGACGAATATTAACCCAGTAGTCTGTACATCATTATATTTAACACATTAACCTCAACATACAGTGGCGGCTCGTGAAAAATAAAATGGAGGGACTGCAAGCCTCACACAACAGTAGGTGACCTACCTCAGGTATGAGTTGTAGTTGATGTCCACTAATTCCCAGGGCATGGTAGTAGTGTTGGTGGTGATGGACCAGTATTAATTGAAAATAAAGTCCGCGCGTCTGCTCTTCGATGTAGCAAAATTGTTTATTACTATTTCATTAAAATCCTTTATTTCTGTTATCATTTTATTTTCAATGGATATCACTGCTAAAGCAGACAGTCTGTCATTCACCATGGTACTGTGCAAAAAAGTTTTAATTCTCTTCAAAGTTGTAAAGCACCTTTCTGCTTCTGCCGTTGTCATTGGAGTTGTTATTAAAATTTTCAGCTACAATGTTCACTTTACCCAGCAACGATAAATTAATCATGTGATTCATATGTTTGGCTGACTGCTCATGTTTCACTATTTTCTGTGGCAAATGCCTCAAGTCAGTCACACCACTTTTCGTCCATGCCGAGTCCCCACCAAACAATAAGCAGAATAAAGTATTTGCCTCGTCACAACCACAGAGCCATAAACACTCATGTTAAACTGGCGTGTATATTCTTTGTTCCTGCTTGTACTGTTCTGTTCAATGGATAAAACTGGTGTAGGTCTTCCTCTTGCTTTGATTTCAGTCTTTTCATTTAATGTCAGCTGGGAAAAGTTGATGTTTTGCAAATACTTCACTCGATTTTCCATCGTCAAAGGGTAATTAAAGAAAGCACGAGTTAACCACACCGTCCACACGTTGGACGAGACTGAGCTGCTTCAAGTGCGGCGGCGGCGGCGATAACAGACATGAATCGTACAGCATTGACACCAACTATGAAAGTAACTTAAATTTTGGTCTGATTTTAATGAAAATTCACTTAGCAACGTATTGAAAATAATTAAATAACATATAAAATGATATATTTGTTGGTAGTGTATTATTCAGCTGTCTCTCTAAAGGAATCATACGCCTGGCAGTGAGTGTCTGGGGGGACTGCACGAGCCGCCACTGGACGCGGCCTTAACTTATCCCCCGGGTTGGCACCTTAATATACCGCAATGCCAGTGAGTAGGATATGAATAATAACACAAGAAGCAGAGGTGGAGTTTGAGATTGACCCCACCTCCCCTTTCGCAGCTAGATCTTTATTTGGGGTCTTTACTGATACACGGCGCTGATCCCGGCCTTGAGACACACGGTTAATTCCTTTCCTATCGTTCAAAAGCTTCCCTTCCAAATTTGAGATTGTTGATGGTCACGATAATGAATTCTAGAGCGCATCTAGATAATTTTATACAAAAAAAACTTTTGTTTTAATTTCTATTAAGAAACTTAGTAAACTCAACTAATACCAAAATAAGAAAATATAAAACATGAGTAGAGAACCAACAGAGGTGGAGCAACAACAGCTGGTCACTCTCAACAACGTCAACACCCTGAACATGTTAAACTATTATGTAAGCAGTGCCTATAACAAAACAGTAATGTATACTGCTTAGCTGCTATATTACGCAATTTTAGAAGAAACTGTGTAGTTAAAAGTTAGTAATGTTATGGTTTGTTCCCATTTACCTGTCGTCTACAATTGGTTCACTTTTCTCTCTTGTCATATTACTAAAATGTCTACTCTCACTTGATTATCAGTGAAATTTATAACGTGAATTTGATTAAATGTTCCTTGATCTAACTTAAAATAACCTAATCTATTTTAACTTTTCCTACCCTAACATAGTGAATCGTGTATTTAATGGGCGTAAATTCAAGAGCACCTTTGTGACATTATTAGGAATTTTATGACCTCTTTCAATTCATATTTACAAATTTATTTCCAGATAATCTAGAATGGACTTTAGAAATTCGCTTGAAATGTTTGCCAGTTGTGATGGTTTTCCAGGAGATGGGGTTCCATCCCCCAAAGGAATCAGCGTATCACTTAACAATCTTGAGAGTGAACCACTTCACACAGGTGGAAAACATCTTTCCCTCCAAGAATCTTTTGGTTTTCCTGTGTTGTTTAGTGGACGATCATATGTCAGAAAAATCAATTCTAAGGCAATAAATGTTGATGTGCACAAAATGAAAAGTTTTCATGATGTCAAGGCAGATAAACAGGCAAATTATCTATCCATGAAACCAAGCAACAGTGACCTGTCTAAATCAAATTCTGAACTGGAATTGTTCAGCTTTTCTAGTGAAACAAAAGTTTACCCAGAAATAAGAGATGTTAAGGCACCTCTCTCAGTTTCAAAAGTCAAAGATGACACTAAAATTAACTGTTATGAGGAGAAAGAGCTCCAAAATGATGCCTTGAAAAATTTAATTAAAAACATTGAATCTTATTATCAAGATAACGAAACTGCTTCATCAAAGACCACCACAACCAAAAGAATAAAATCTAATGAATCTAGTAGTAGTAGTTTTGTTGAAAAAGAAATTGTTCATAATGGTGTGAGAAATATTGCAAGTAACAATGATAATGAAACCGTTTGGTATGAATGTCAGCGGTGTTATTTAGAATTTTGCACTCCCAAAGGCCTTGCAAATCACGTGAAGACACACCCAAAAGTTATGGTAGGAAAAAATGCTTGTGTGTACTGTGGAAAAAGTTTTGACAATGCTAGTGACTTGAATGATCACCAAAATGCTGAACACTTGTTTGATATAATAAACTACACGTGTGAATCCTGCCAAGTAGAATGCATCAGTGCTGACTTGTTTGATAAACACCAATTTGCTTGTCACAGAAAGCAAGATACATCGTGTCTCTTCTGTTCAAATTGTGACAAAGTGTACTATGACCAAGACATGCATAATTACCACAAGGAACAAGTAAAACATTGCCATATTTGTAGCATAAGTTACTGCATGTCTTCTAACCAGTTTAAAGTTCATAAAGAAAAGCACATATTGTTTAAGTACAAATGTATGAAGTGTGGTGCCTCCTTCATAACTAAAGCATCTTTGACCAAACATTTAGAAACAAAGAAATCATGTTTTCAGATGTTAAGCAACAAAGATGATAATTGTGTTGTAAATCCTGTAGAATTTGATCATGGCAAAGTCGATGAATGTGATCTTGGCTTAGAAGAAATTGAAAGTGCAATTGAGAATGGTGTGATTGAGGAAGGAAATACCTTGTCTTCCAAGAAAGAAAAAACACACAAGTGTCCTTTGTGCCCAGCAAAGTTTGCACTTGTCAAGAATATGTGGAGGCATGTAGCAGTTGTTCATCCAAGTGATTTACAGGTCAGTTACAGAAGAATTAATACTAAATTTTTTAAAGCAGTTGATTTTGTTTAATAATTAAACTACTGTATTGTACTAGTCAAGTTTATTACTTAATATATAGTCCTTTTTTTTGTCAATATTGAAATAATAGTATTGTACTGTATAGTGTGAGAGCTCAATTTTGTCATCAATGAATGCACTGCTCCTTGCAGAAAATAGGGAGTGCCCACTTTTTCAGTATTCGTCTGAAGGGGTACATGGTGGATGAATGTACTGTACTGTATAGTAAATATATAGCACTTACCCGACCAATTGGCTGCTGATTCAAGTCCTGTGGCAGGTCTCTGTGTAGGTGTAGGATCACCCACAGTGGACCCATCTACAAAATGGGTACTGTACTAACTTTGCAATTGGGGATGTGATAGGCAGTAGAGTAAGGAGCCAACCACCCTGTCTCCTTGAGTACATTACCGAAGAGCTGTATCCACACTGCTCCTTATGGGACCCAGTTTCACTTTGTAGCTACAATACTGTTACTGTACTGTATAATTTTTTACCAATTCTGACTGTCACACTATCCTTTCAAGAATATTTATTGCTATTTTCTGTCTTTCATTATTGATTTTGGCTAAATTACTGGTACAGTACAGATACTAAAATTATGTTGACATGCATTAATATATATTTTTTTATCATGGTACAGAGCGAAAGTCTGCATCATTTACCAGTGCTGGGGGGCCATCAGTGCACCATATGTGAAAAGAAAGTTACTAAAAAATCTAATCTTGTAGCTCATATGGCATCACACATACGAAGGACTTACAGGTGAGGATGCCCATAGTTGCCAGGAAACTGTTGTCAAGCTGGTTGATTGTGAACATTAGATGTAGTGTTATTGATGGATATACTGTACTGTATGTACCTACAGTCAGCAACATAATTGTTTCTTTTTTAAATCAGCATTTAGTACAAATAAAATTACAAACAATGTTAATGATATCAGTTTTATTTCAGTACAGTACAGTATATGGTATGCTTGTGTCCTTATTTGATAAGGTGAAATTTGCTACAGTACAGTATTTGGAAATTTGAGATGGTTTGAACAAATGGAGAATTTGGATTTTGGTTGGACATAATTATAAGAGGTACAGAGAACATTAAACCCTTCAAGTGGAAGAGATTGAGAGATAAAATAGGTAATTACAATGAAAGGAAGGAAGGACTGTATAGGGGATGTTGAACAAAGAGACTATAAATGAGGTACAGGACAGTAAAACAAAAGGATTGGGAGACCAAAGTATAGTGTTCTGCATCCACACTGATCCCACTAGGCATAACAAGATGGCATTTTAGCAGGATTTGGTAAGATGTAATAATTACAAACCATTTTTTATGTTAAAGCACTTTTCTTTTGCAGTCAGAATAATGGTGAACCGAAATGTTCAATTTGCCATAAGACCTTCCGACTACAGCGTTATCTTGTTGATCATATGAGGTAATTACTGAATACAAAATATTGTGATTAATGTTTCAGAACACTCTGTGATCAGATATATGTTTTGCATTTTTATCAGGCTTTTAGTTTCTTTGTTTGTAAATACTGTACTTGTACTGTATTATGAGAATAATTATTATCCCTTCATCTGCTCACTTATGATTCTTCTAAACACCTGATTTTCCTTAACAGGCTTCTTCTATTTCATCTACAATCAGTTTTACTACTTCACCCTTCTACAGGGTTAATATTTTTTTCATGCCATCCCTATATCTTTTACCATCATATGTGTTGTATATTTCAGGTTACATACTGGACGTGGTACTCATCAGTGTCGCCACTGTGATAAAAAGTTTTTGAGACGACCTCATTTAAAGTTACATATGCAAATGCACGACAGTTTCCAAAAATTTCATTCCTGTCCACACTGTGATAAAACATATATGAGGAAGAGAGGTACAGTATGTGTGTTTAATTAATATTATACAGTACTGTATGTATGAATTACCTGCATACCTTTATAATGTATTATTTCACACCAGTACATTGTCATAGACTGAGGCATTTTTTAAAAGACATTCATATAGTTTTATTTTTATGGTTTCCTTGAATAACTTGTAAATTACAGTGCTTGCTAATCCTTCATGACAGCTGCCTTGTCACATTAAGCAATAAACTAGCTCATAATGCTTTTATTAGGTATGAGATATACAGTATCATAGATTGTCAACTTCATAAGGTTATACTCACATTGTAACTCACTTTTTATTAAGATTCTCAAGAATTTCAAGGTTTGTATTTAATGAGATGGCCTTTTGCTTTGTGTTTTACTTGTATCTGGCCTCGGCCTTTATGACAACTTGGGGTTCTGGGAGACTCGGTTTTCACGCTCAATTTGTTTGGATATACTGTACAGTACAATAATCAGTTGATCCTACCTCAATAATAAATTGGGATTTCAGGAGCAGCTTTCCATTTTCATGTTGTTTTAACTGCTCCATTTAATATGTTTGGTGATAAACAGATCAGCTGCATCATATTCGTGTGAAGCATGGTACTACTGTTGGTGTCGACCCTAACATAGAGACTGGGTAAGTACAATGTTCAAGAGCCTTATATTGTTGTTTGAAAATGTTTCCTTTCCCTTGGAGCTCTTATCTATCTGCTGATAATTTTTATTATTATTATTGTTATTATTAGTGGCATGAATGAGGGACTTATGGTAGAAAGTGGAAAATGGTCATGTGCCATCTTTAAGATGTTTAGATTTTCAAGCAACATGATTGAATCTTGCACTAAAAATGATACAGTAGTTGTGTTTTAAAAGCTCAAGGGGAGGGAATAAGTGTAAGTTGGCAAACCTGACTTGTAGGTAATGCAGCCTTGTTTGGGAGGTGGCACCTGCGAGGTAACATTCTGATACATATTGTCTATGATAGGACAACATCTTCAGCACAAACTAAGATCTGTAAAGTTAGAATTACACCATCATTTTGTTGGGAAAGTAGAATGTACTGGAATTTCAAGTTTTTGAATCCTCCACTAATGATTCAGTCTTCTAACTAGTGCAATATTCACCTCACTTTATTTTACCTTCCTTTAACTACCTGGTAATAAGCAGTTATTAGCAGTAACAGTAGTGACAATCATGTTACACACAATAACATTTTCATCCATACCCTTGTCACAAGGGGGTAGTTTACAATGTAAATATTTTTTTCTTTTCTCGATCATAATTGGAGTTCTTCCATCTCATACTTGAGCAATTTATGCTGAATATGGTAAAAGGTAACTAAAATACAGTACAGGTCCTGTACTTGTTAGTACAGTAGGTCACAGATGGCAGTGAGGTGTACTCTCATGACTCTGGTTGTACTGTATTTTGAACTAAATTACACAGTTGGTCTTTGTCAGGGAGTACAAAGACATGCTATGACAACAACTGTTATTCTTTTTAAACTACTGTAGTAATAAAGATATGCTTATTAATTTTTTATAGGAATTTACTTTTATGAAGGAGAGTTGGAAGATCATTAATATACTGTACAGTACTTTTGAATTATTAAGTACCTGTACTGTACAATGATATTTTATGTTTCAGGGAAACAGAAGGATTTTCGTGTCCAGAATGCGAAAAAAAATTTTCTTCAATACTAAAGCTCCAAATGCACGGCATCAGACATACTGGTAAGTACCTGCCACGTTGTAACCAAACTCTTTTGTGTTTGTTAATCTGTTTTTTATTCAGTATATATGTAATAAAACCTGATGGGTCACAAGGATTTGCATTGTCATTGGCTGTATTACTGCAGCCTCATTGGGCTTATTTTTTCTAGTGCCTGAAGTGCCTGGATACATTAAAGTACAGTAGATGTACTTCTTGACACAAGTAAAAGAAATGATGAGGCCATTATAAATTATTTAAAAAGGGGGTGAAATACAAATCATAAAGAAGATTTACTAAATACAAATTTGAGAAACATACTGTACCTTTGCAGGGGAGTGCCTGTATCTTAGGACACGTTTGATTAGGGACAGGATGTGAATTTGATTATCTATCACAAGTCAACATTTAATAATTGAATATTGTACAGTACAGGAATTCCCTGATTTACAATGATCCACTATTATCCTCAATTCAAATCCTGTCAAAGCAAAACATCTCAAAACTGTAAATGCATACAGTGCAGTAGACTAAGTTTTGGTGTGTCACTACGAAATTAAAATCATATGTCTTGACTGAGCCTCACAGTCTGGTGCTGCATCAATGACATCTGTGTCCCCAGCTGCATGTGTTGCACTGAGTATGTTTATTATTGTCTTATAATCATTGTGTACACCAAATATTGTCATTAAAAACATCTTTTGTAGAATATTAAGCCTTTTTTTTGTCATAGCATTGTTTCTTGGTTTTTATAATGGGAGTCTATGGGAAAATGTGATCCAATTTACAATTTTTTTTTTTTTTAGGGGGGGGCAGGACGTCTTCGGGAACGTCCTCTTTTTTTAATGTTCATATATGGCAACCCTACTCATGGTGATGTTTTATTTTGTTAACATTATATAAGAAACTAAACTTATCATATAAAATCAAACAAAATTGGTATGTTTAACTTTTTTACTATTATTGTTGTTGTTCTCCAGCCACAAAACCTCCTTACAAGTGTCAAGAATGTCTCCGAGACTTCCCAACTCTCAGTACTCTTAAACGACATTACTTGATTCACTGGGATCTGAGACCATTTTCTTGCTCTGTATGTAGTAAAAATTTTCGGTAAGTAGACTAGGTACAGTAATTCTATTTGTTTAGACCTATAGATTTTTATCGGATCTTAAGACTGTATATATTTTAAAACAAATAAACAAATATAAACATTGAAAATACAGTATATCAAGTGCATGTTAAACATCAAGTACAGTATTGTATTATTACAATATATTTTTTTCACCTCTGCAAATGTTTACTTAGTTTGGTGTGGGGTGTCGGGAATTGAGAGCAACACAGGCTCTCTTTCAAATGGGTTATGGTATGGTGTTCTTCTTCTACCATGTGGCTCCAATATTGCCATCTGTGGCTTTATAATATAAACTGTAATTTTAAAATACAGTATACTAAAATTTTAAATATACTGTACTGTAGTCTTTTTTAGATCACCCCTGTGCCTGCACAGGATATGTATGGTTAGTTTTGATATGGATAAATTAAATATGTTGATCCACATTAATTTCATAGAGAAATTTTTTAAAATTATAGTTTAGGGAATATTCTTGAAAGAGAAATAAGAAGTGATAGAAATAATTGTAACAAAGTGTAGCACAGCGTTATTTATTACAAAGAGGATATACAGGTCCACAAAGTACTGTATACTGTACTGATAATAGAATTAACAAAACATTAAATATAAACGAAATTCAGTACTGTATAGTATGCTGTACAATAATAAATACAAAACAATAAAATATTTTAACACTTACTGTATTTATTTATTTTTTTTTTTTTACGGGGATTAGCCCACCAGGGCACAGGCCACTGACCCACATTGGGACCTGGGGGGAAAAATTTAATAATAATAATAATAATTCATAGTAAATAAAATTTATAATAAAAATACAATAATAATAATAACATTGTAATAATAGTAATAATAATAATAAAGAACTACGTGTAAAGAAATATAAAAATGAAGAAAAAAATAAAACGTGAGAAATGCTATATGTTGTGTTGTCAAGTAAGAGAAACAATTGAGACCTGCAATTGTGTGTAAATGAGGCAGAAAGACAGATCAGCAACCTGGGACTTGGTCAAAATTTTTGTGATGCCATATAGCAGCAGGGTCGACCATTAGACAACACATTATGCTTTCAATATCTTCCCAAGCAGCAGTAACCCCCTGTTTGGTAGCTGCCTACTACCTACTACTTAATTTGATGTGTGTAATGTCTACATTCAAATTATTCGCTATCTTGCAAGGATTCCAGCAATGCTTGTTATATTCTGTTAAGTTTAGTCTGTGACATTTTATAAGATAAGAATTTTAAGCCTAAAACTACCTTCACCCCTGGGAAGGTGGAGGTGAGGTGTTGACAGCCAGGCGATGGGGGGAGGGTGAGGTGAGGTATTGACCAGCCGGCGGGGAGACTACCCAGTGAGTCGTTATCAGTCATACAGAGGGAGTTTAAGTTTTTTGCTTGTAAAGTCAAAGAATTGACTTGACAGAATGTTACATACATTGCTGGAATTCTTGTAAGATAGTAATTAATTCGAATATAAACATGCTATAGTTTGCACAAGACATAAAAAAAATTGAGTAATTATTTAGTACATTTGAGTACAGGACGGGTATGTTCTTAGGAAAATTATCTCTTTTACTTTTTTTACAATAAGTATTTAGGATGGTGTTTGCATGTAAATGAGCAAAGATAAATGAAGAAAGTTACGTATATCTACCCAAAAATACGAGATGAAAAACTTGTACTAAAATGTACTACACTAAAGGACTCAAATTTTTATCTCATGCAAAATATACTGTATGATGTCTATATTCAAATTATTTTCTGTCTTGCAAGGATTCCAGCAATGCAAGTTATATTCTGCTGAGACAATTGACACCTCACACCTGCGTGGGTCAAGCTTCGGCCGCGTCTGGTCATGTTCGGTATCACTCTGGGTAGGTCGTGCAAACGAGCGATGCTCCACGAAAAAACTTTAGGTTTTCAAAGTTTTTCGGATTTCGGAATTGCGGATAGGGAATTGTGGACCTGTACAAATTTTTTAGTGTTTCTGAACTTGTATTCACATTACATAATTAACATTTATAAGTGAAATTTTAGTAAATATCCCCAAATTAATTTTTCCTCTTTCCATCACATCTGTTTTGCAGTTATGCACAGAGTTTGAAACGGCACATGATGACACATACTGGCGAGAAGCCACATATTTGTAAACATTGTGGTAAGGGCTTTGCTTTAAAAGGAACTCTACAAGTTCACCTACAACAACATTCAACCACAAGAACATTTAAGTGTTACAAATGTGGTAAGTAAAAATACTTCATATGCAATTTTTTTTTTGTACATTTAAAAGGTACATTACCAGTATAGCAGGTTTGATGGCTTGTAACTAACACTGATTAGTAAAATTGTATAGAGTTAGGGTCCATAATTCACTTGGAAATTCTTGAACCACCATGCTTATAACTTTGGAAATACTATAGGAATAAAAAAAAATAATTAGGACAGGGATCAGCCTAAGGCTTTACTCAACCAGAATTCAAAGGTAAATATTCATCTTGCTTTAAATACCCGGTAACTCATGCTGGAGTTATATTGAGATGTTTTACAGTTTCAACTGTATTATGTACTATTAACATGTGTCTCTTTTAAACTAAGACTTCTTTACTTTGAAGTTTATAGAGTATAAATTGACACATTCAGTAAGTCCCTTTGTTTATAATAAACTTAATTCTCTATTCTTTCATATTCTCAGAGGAAATCTTTGCAAAAAAGCAAGAACTTAAGTCTCATCATTGCAGCCAGATCACTAAAGGTGAACCCCCAACAGAAAGTGTCAGTTCTGAATATTGTGTCCTTAGCAAAGCTAATGTTTATATGACTTATGCCACTGACAATCATGGGAGCAGTAGGAAGAAAAATATTGGCGAGTCAGTTCCTAATGCTCTAAATGACATAACTAGTGTAACTACCTTGATATCAGAAACGTGTGTAAATGATATAGTGCCAGTAACAGAACTAGTTTCAGACAATATAACAAGTGCTGTTACACCAGGTAAGCATGTAATCACTGAGGTAGAAAGTGAAGTAATTCCCCTTAATAGTACAATATCTAATAATAGTATCAGTGAAGTTCCATTTGACTCACAATTTTCAAATCACTCTACCTTTGAAGAAGGTACTCTTTTGGAGAGCTCAGCTCTTCAAAATGCCAATCAAGCTAATGTTCTAACACAAACATATTCAGTGGTGGATGAAAATTTACCGGGTTGTGTAAACCTAGGTAACTGTTCAGTGCTGGAAACCAACCAAGACCCATGTGTGGGTGAAAGTACCATCTATACTTTGGTGACCATAGATGGTGAGGCAGAGCAACCAACTTTTATCAACATTCCAACAATCTCTAACAGTGGTAATGAAGAGAATGTGACCCTTCAAATAAATTTCCCTGAAGAAGGTTGTTCTGAAGTTTTTATTATTAAGAGTTAATATGTGATTCTTTAAATAAAAGTGGGTCCTTGTATGACTGATGTATGCATGAAGGTAGTGGGACAGCACTGCAATTGATCGCTTTTACCCCTGCAACTAAAGTTGGGGCTGTGCACTAGTAATCCCTAGAACAGGAGGTTAAAAGTTGTTTACTCCTCTGCAGCAAGTGGTCATATGTGAATATACAGTGTAGTTTTGTGTAAGTTTTATAATAAACATTAAATATTGTAGTTTTTTTTTTTGCTTTTTCCTGGTCCAATTGGTCCCTATTATTTGTTGTTTCACATATTTAACATTATTAATAAGGGAATACACTACCATTGTTCATCATTTACATTCCACACAAGTCTTTCATACTACAGTACAGTACTTGGCAGGGTGTACAACAGCACCTAGCTTACATAAGACACACACACTTAATATTCTCTCCAAGTACATTTTATTTAAGAAAAACTATAAATATTTATGTACAGTATATATATATATTGTGAATATGTTCTTTATGCATTTCCAGTTTTGATTGAGGCTTCTGCACAGCAATGTAGTGACTGTACTAATTTTAAACTAACACGCACACAAAGCATTATCTGAGGAAAAGGAAAACATGCTAACCACCTGGATGGATTTTGACAATGCCACCAAGCCAAAAGCTGGTAATGAAGAAGGCACCGAGTCTGTTTAATTATTTGAAGGCTCAGGAAAGTGAGGAGTTGACCAAGATATGTTACTTCCAATGGATGGTTTCAGAAATTCAAGTGAAGCAAAATTCACAACGTTTGCATCATGGATGCAAAGTGGTAAGTGTCCTATTGCATTTTTTATTAACATTTATGTATTTTTAATTGCATTCCTTTTTTCCGCATATTCCACGTCACCAAGTAACTTAAGTCCTATTTTGTTTGGTTTCCTATTGAACTCTTTTTCTCGGTTTTTCTCAAGCTTTGGAATACATCCCTATGCTCCCTATCTATCTACCTCTGGTAACAAAGTTTCTGACAATGAAGCGAAGTCATGGAATGCTTCCACTTTGTTAAGAGGTATTACTATACAGTACTGTACATACAAATATGTAATGAAGTACAATTTAAAGATATTAATTTCCATCTCAGTCGTTCATCAGCTGACCACCCACCAGTACAACCTTCCCACATGAACTAGCCAGCACATCAATATATACTGTACATACTCCATTTAATCAGTCTAATGATATTTAAACACTATACATGCAAAAACAGCAAGAATGTTTAAAATAATTATATAAGTTGAGGAAATTAATGATTTATTGTGAAGCATGTGCGTCAGGCCTCTCCCAGATGATCAGCTACTGTTGTTCCTTCACACTCGTATAATTAAATAAATGTCTAATTTCACTTCCAAAATTACACTTTTTTGCTGTGTTTTGATAAAAGGTGTAGTTGGCAAAGTGCTGTAGGTCTCTTTTTGTATTCATTATGCAGTTTCTGAAGCAATAACTCCCAACACACTTCTCTACACTGTAACGTATACAGTTTTTAATTAATGGTCTCATTGTTATACATAGGATGTTATATTAATCCCTTCACTTCAGAGAACACCACTTTCAATATTGTATTTGGCTAACACCAGACTTATTCAGCATAGAGAGGACCAATGACAGGGGTTAAGCAGTGAAGGTAGAGGGGAGGCCTAGTGGTCGGTGGGAAGCAGAGACTGTTAGCAACAAGATCTAGAGTTTGGTACACTGGATGACAATGCATTTATTTATGCACTTTCCTCAATCTAAATTACCACATTTGTACTCTTTCAGTAGTACAATAACAATCCAATTTAACGTAAGTAGTTTATAAAGGGGACATAAAAAGGCCTATGGTCACATTCAAATTTGTTGAACTGAATGGCTGGGAATTACACTGTAACAATGATTCAAAAACCCAAATTAACTCAGGACTGCCTGCTATAGTTCTCATAATAATTTACCAAGTGATCTACTGTACAGTACTTACCAAAATACCACCACCAATCCACAAACCCACCCTGAACTACTTCACAATGGACCGATTTCAACTGTGCTTCAAGGAACACCCTTGGGCAATGAATTGGCTCTCAGCCAATCTCACAGCAATACTCAGTGACATCAGAGCCTAGGCCTGTCATTCAAGGACAGATCCAGGGGGGAGGGGAGGTCCAGACCCTCCTTTTCACCAGAAAATTCCAATACTTTTTCTTAAATGCAATATTGTACTCACGCATTTTTGTATAGTAAAAATTATTTACTATTGACTTCATAATCTCTCCTAATATCAAGTGTGCATGGCTTCAAAATGACCATGATATTGGTCAGATTTCAAAAAATGTTCTGTACAATATACAACTCCACAAACATAACACCACTACAATACTGCTGCAACATATCTATTACGGTAGATTCTTTTTCTTTTTCTTTTTTTTTCTTTTTTACAGGGATTAGTCCACCCGGGCACAGGCCACTGACCCACATTGGGGCCTGGGGCAAATTGTAATAATAATTATAATAAATCATAAATAAAATTTATAATAAAAGTTACACATGATTTTAATTTTTGTCTTGCATATTTTAAAATATGAAGACCATTGTATTTTGAGAACCTCCAATATTTCACTAAACACACCCATAATGTATAAAGACAATTTGCAGAGTGACATCACTACTACATCCTATATTTATGCTGTAAATTTTTTTTTGTTACTGTACTTATGTTTTAATTTTTGTAGGTTTATTTGATTCTTTGGTGCATTATGAAGATTTTTATATATCACAATATTAAGGTCAACAAATTGGCTTTAACTTGACAGAAGGCAGACTACATTTGTCCGCCCCGAGAGCATCAGTTTACGTGCGCCTCTCATCACGGGCAAACCTTCTGACTGATCAAGTGCCTGTGAAGTGTTACTGTACATATACAGTATTGAGTGTTATGGATAAAGTTTAGTTTAACTTTGTCAGAACAATTATTTACAGTGCCTGTGAAGCATTGCATACAATACTGTATTGCACAAAATGTACAGTACAGTTCCTCTGCCTCTTACAAGTTCATCAAGAAATTGTTCCTTGCTATTGGTAAGTACCTAATACATACAACTGTTTTTTGTTTCATTATATATTCGGTATAGGATTATTATCGAGAAGTCGGAAAATTTGATTACTCAGCAAAGCCTCAGCACCATATGAGCCGAGTTCTGGAGGTTTTACTACATCAAAATTGCTAAATATGTGATGTAATTTCAATGTGATAATTCAATCAGCCCAGAGACTGTACAGCACAAAATTTTTTTTAGAATACAGGTACAATCCATTTATAACCTCGAGGCTTCCTTTACCTGGTATACTATATTGTGATGGAAAGTTACAATGTGGCACTATGCTATTACCTTTCAGATTATGTACACTAATGCAGTTATATCAAGGAAGAGAGAAAATGGCATCTGCATTCTTCCATTCTGTACCAGCACTATGCTCTGTATGAGCCATTATTTCACATGTCAGCCCCTGAGCAGTTGAGTAGTCTGCAAACCTTGCTTCGATAAAATCACAAAAGAGCAAGGCCTGCTATACTATACAGGAAGGCATCTTGAAATGCAGTCGCTAGGTATGCCAACACACTCCACTGATTAGTGTACAATAAAGAGTAGCAAAAAGGCACTACTGTATGTGGAGAGAACAATTAGTAAAACCAATCTTAAATTTTTTCATAATTTTTATGTTTGTTACATAAGTAATGGGGCTTTCTATACTTGATACCTTACCAGGAGACTTAACCATTACAAATAAAATGACATTTATTTCCTATATTTTATTGCCCTTTAAATTTTTGTTTAAATAAGTCACAACAAGAAGGCACAAACAACAATATTTTAAGCAAATGTTTTGGAACAGTGTTGAACAGAGATAACCCATTGAGTCAAGGTACAGCTACTTTGAGACAAAAAATAAAATAAATGAAATAAAAATCCTTTGCATTCCAATATCAAATAAGAGCTTAAACTATAAAACTTCAGCATCAAGTAGACCATCTGAAAGACTATTAATTCAAAACTAAAGTATACAGTACAGGTAGTTACAAAACACTAGAATTTCAAACAGTGAATAATTATGCATTTTGCAAAATACAAAAGTGGGGGCAACCCAATCTACTTTTTTGCCTGAACAATATCCTAAATTTACTGTTTGCATAATAAATATTAAAATTACTGACTTGACAAGCTTGCTACTGGTGATCAGCGACTCAATAAGGATCATCTAAGAATAATGAATGGATATCATTCATCAAAGGAAGGACAGCTTAACGATACTTAGTAAGATATTCACGAATCCTCTCCTCACTAGCCCCAGAGAAGGAGTCAACCTGCGAATAAAATATTAATCAATACTTTAAAGGTGCTTTATAAGTCAATTATATATGATTTAAGTTAATTTAGCTTCACATTTGAGTTGTAACTAATATAGTAAGATTTTGAGACTTAGGCAACAGTATCTCGACACGATTAACAAATTCACTGCAAAACCACCCTTACAAAAGTTGCAACTGAACAAAAAAGTTTTCCCTTTACCTTCTCACCACTTTTGATGAAAACAAAGGTGGGCATGCAAGAGATCTGATATTCCATAGCTACTTCCTCACAATCATCCACGTCCACCTTCAAGAACACTACATCAGTCATCTCCTCACTCATAACCTGCAAAAGTGGATATATTTTTACAATGATAATTGCAATCTTATATGGTCTGCTGGAATAGTATTTGCTGCATAATAAAAGGGATTCAAAGAGTATGGGTTTCACCAGAGTACTGTACGAGCAACCTTCTAGAACGAATTGTGCTCGTTAACCGAGAGACCACTGTATGTGTTTCGACTAAAGAACGTCCCCAGGAATGGAACTTGTTTGTAACCTGGGAGACTGCCTGTACTGGTATACAGTATTCCCTCAGAAACAGGGTGGTGTGGGAGGGGGTTGCTCTAGAATTCTCCTGTGGTTGGCTGTGTCAAATGGGAAATTAAAGCTTGGCAAGTGACCCCTGAGAGGTACAGTATAACTGAAATCCTAAGCTGCAGCTTAAAATTGCAAATACCTACAGAGTGTGTGTGTGTGTGTGTGCATTGGGGGCTACTACTACAATACAGTATATACACTTTGCTGCTTTGGGTTTTCCTCAAGTGTTTAAATAATTTTACTCTTTTTTTTTTTTTTTTTTTTAAACACCACTAAGGCTGACAATATACATACCTCAAGCTTGGGTGCTATCACCTTACATGGTCCACACCAGGTGGCATAAAAGTCGACGATGACCAGCTTCGCACCGGCATCAGCCAACTGCTTGTCAAAATCAGCCTGGAATATTTTTGTTTTTATTAATATCCAAACAAACAAACAAACAAAATTAAATAAATAAATATAATTTACCAAATACATATACATACTGTATGTATGGAGTTCTGAGCACAAAAACTGGTGCATTCCCTAAAACAATAGAGGTAGTGTTGTTAAACCAAATTCTTGTTATTGTAATTGGTTGGTCATTAAACAGGACTTTTAGTATACTGCACAAATGAAAATCAACAGTAAAGCACTTTATTCTCGACTTGTTAGGGATTGGAACAAACATTATCCTGTTCAGTGTCATCAGTTAAAGAATCCAAAGAAAAAGAAAAAAATAGGGGGATCACATGAGGGTTAGCACCCCAACTACTTCACCTCAAGATTAACCACCTTAATGATAACCTAACACCCATATATATTGTTAGGTGCTTAGTCGCAGGTGTAATAAGCTGAAGGAGTGCTTATCTTCATGTATTCCACCAAAAGCTTGTTTTACTTATTCGATTTTACTTTAAAAAAAATGCAATTTTGATCACACAAAGTGCGGCAGGGCTTTGAAGCAGAAGAAATTGTGCTGTAAAAACATACAAAACACAGATGGAACCAAACCTAACCCATCGTAGAAAACTTTAAAGTGTAATACTGTACAAGTACAGTTTTTAAAAACAGGTATCTGGGTTAAGGAGCAGTTAGAAACTTTTAAATACTGTAGGAAAAAAGTTAATTTCATTTATTTTTTCCACAGATGTTATTATCATTATTGTAAGTACAGCCACTCCTCAACTTACAACGGGTTAAGGACCCAAATCCAGGTCATAAGTCGAATTGGTCGTAAGTCGAAAATGCGAAGATAATACATAGTAAATCTAAAATGGGTGTCTCTTTTTCTTCTCAGCACCACAAAACTCTCTCTTAAGCATGCCAGCCATTTTAAAGGGAATTACAAACTAAATCTTTGTCAGTACACAGTGCAATCAGTAACGTCGGGACTCGAAAATACGTAATTTGAAAATATTTTGGTACGACTGGGGCGGTTGCATGTCCGGGTGGTCGTAAGTCGAGTAGGTCGTAAGTTAGGGAGTGGCTGTACTGTATTTTAAAAGAACCAATATTTACTAGAACCTGAACTAACCAACCAAGGAAATCTACCTCACCTTACCCAACTTCCTAGCTGGAGGGTTCTGCCCCACCAGACCACCCTGCCATATTAAACAGAATGCACTTACAGTATTTTGATATCTGGTACCAATGAAAGCATCTTTGTTGAAGTGTCACCGGGTAATTTTAAGTTTTTTGTGGATGTGACAATACTGTACACTCGGACCGAATGGGTCAAGTGTAAACAAACGACAAGCAGATTTTTTGGAGGAGTATTTACTGCAAATAATTAATTTCATCATGCACAAAGCACATAAGAGACATTATTTTAGTGTCATATGATCAGTTTTTCACCATGTTTTACCTCGCATTTCTCTCATCCTTTGTGCCCTGCCCACTACAGGTGATTTATGATCGTAGCTATAGGCGCTGTACATTCCTCCAATCAAATGTTTGCGGATGATGCCAAGTTATTTCAGGAAATTAAGAACCAAGCAGACTGTGAAGAGCTGCAGAAGGATCTCTGAGAGATTCAAGAATGGTCGAAGAAATGGTTGCTAAAATTCAATGTCACGAAGTCTACGAGGCTGCATCTGGGACGTACCAACGGTAAGGAGGCGGTCATATGTCCCAACGGGACGAAGAAACTGCGTTAATTGAGACAATGTGAAAAGGGCCTAGATGTGTATGTTGACAATCAGCTGAAGATCTCGGGGCCATTGCGAGAAGGTGAAAAAGGCAACTAAATTATTAGGTCTTACAAGAAGGTCGTTCAGATATCTAGACCAGTGATTCTCAAACTGTGGTCTGCGAAAAGTTTTTGAGAAATAGTGCGTTTAACGTTTGTGAGAGATTAGGGGATTCCAATTCGCAAGATATTTTGGATTTGGGTTGAAATGAACAAATGCTTTGGACTATGATTTATGCTTTGATTATTGACAATATTTGTATGCGTCATGGTATATAAGGGGTCCTTGGTTGAAAAAAGTTTGAGAACCCCTGATCTAGACGGTCTGTCCCTCGTAACGATCTTGATGAGTGAGGTGCTTCCCTGCCTGGAGTACTGTCACCCTGTCTGGTCCCTGAGATATGCTAGGGACTGTCAGTTGATCGAAAATGTCCAAAGAAGGACCACCAGACTGGTGCTGCACTTTGGCACCTCAGATACCCTGAGAGATTAGAGCACCTGGAATTGCCTAGCTTATACTACAGAGGCAAGTGGGGACCTAATTAAGGTGTATAAACATCTCAAAGGGCAGTACTCATTCGAGTGTCCTTACCTGGAGCTGGCGGGCGCTCGCCCCACAGGGGGTCACAACTCAATGTTGAAGAAGCCGCAAATCCAGAAAACTGTGAGGGGGAACTTTTTCGAAGCGAGAATTGTGAACTTTTGGACCAATCTGCCAGAGTGTTGTGACGGCACCGAGTGAGAGCTCTTTTAAGGCCAGACTTGACAAGTACTGGAGCAGGTTCAGATGCATTCAAGATCCAGTGCAGGCCCAGTACGTGCTAACAGTGCGTAACAGAGACATGACCTATTGCTCAAGCGGCTAACGAGCCGATCAGTGGTGAAGAGGATAAAACTAAGAAAAAAAAGTGACAATATAAAGTTGTCACTCTTTTTAAACTACAGGAACTTACAATCACCAAAACAAAGGAAATCCATAAACTTTTTTTGGTCGTAGCGATTTCCTCTTGAAGTAACAAAAGTTCTTCAGCTTATGAAGAACAACCCAAAAACAATGGAGGAAATTAATTTTTACCAAACAAAAAGATAATAAAAAACCTAACCTAACCAGTGAAACCTATCCAGGGATTCCCCCCCCCCCCACCCTATACAAATCAATATACACAGAGTACTGTAGAGTTGCGTGGTTGTCCTTAACCAAATCTTAACCATGAATATTTCTGGACCTTGGCGACCGATTCATTCAGAAACTCCTGGTAATTGCTATCATATCGTAAGCACCAGATACTGCTACATTAGTATACAAGTTATGGTTAATATATAGGACTAACCCGTGAGCGAGTTATTTTTATTATGGCTTATTTTCTTACATTATTTTCATCAGAGTTGTGATATGATAATCATTTCTTGTGGAAATTGTTCGTTTCATGGATAATTAAGCACCTAGGCGCGCACTAGTTTGTCTTGCGTGTCTTGCTGGCGGTAATGAGGCAGCGCTCAAGAGAGGAGTCTCGTCTCTTCCCCGGGGCAGTTTCCTTTTCAGCATGACGTGTGAAGGTTGTTGCCGGTCTTATATGGACGTAATTTGTGAATTTACGGATAAAGACAACTAGACGCTTAAGTTTTTCAAAGCCCACGGCATCATTCCTTTAGGAAGAAAGTATTGTTCATAGCAATACTGTGAAATAGAACTGGGTTTGTGTGCCAAGTCAGTTGTTGTTTGGAAACAATCATCCATCACTTCGTCGACGCTGTGGCTCGCGTTTCCCGCCATCCCAATAACAAATCACTCCGCTGCCTGGGCTCAGTAAACGTCGATACATCTCGCATCCAGAAAATGCCTCAAATTTCAACATATCACTGGAAGTTCTTTCTGTTTAATATACTGAGGAAGTTAGGTAAGGTTAGGTAGGTTTGTTTGGTTAGGTTGGTTAGGTCTGTTTTTCATACTCACAAATGTTAAGTAACATTTATTTTTAAAATATCCATTTTTTAACATATTTCCACAAACTACAAGTGTCCACTTTAACTGGGAAAATAAGGCGTTACTAAAATTTTTTTCAATCAATTTCACTCGCGGGTTAGTCCTATATAATTACCCAAGTTATTTTTCAAAAATAACTTTTCCCTCACTAATGATCTTTCCTAACGAGGGGGTGAGGGGGAGGGGCTCTGCCCCCTGGACCCCTCGGCATATCATAGGTTATAGAAGAAAAGTGTCTTAAAATTGCTTAAGGTGTAAATGGCAAAGATAAAATTCCCGAGAATCCCATTATGTCCTCTACGATAAATTGACCTGCAAGAGTATCTAAATTACAAGTAATTCAAAACAAGAGGATGAAATTTATCTTGAATATTCCTGTACGTGACTATACTTATTGATTATAACGTCCTCCCAAAAATTGATTAAATAGGGTAAAGTGTAAAATTTTAAATAAAAATGTTCTGATAATTCTCAACAATAGGAGTCCAGAAAATGTTGCCTAAAACTCTTTAGTATTGCATCCATGACTCGACATGGCGCTTAGGGTTAATGGACAAGTTTGCCGAGCTCTGGCTGAATAGACTGAGGTTATCATTGTTTGTATATTGAAATACTTTTATACAACCGATTCAATGGGAAAATATTGAATAATGACGATCTTACTGTATAAAATCAGTTCAATATCTGTAAAGACGGCCGAGGAATGTATGGTGAGCACCGCATGACAAGGCACTGCACCATAGCTTACGTAAATACTGCCATTCTAACGCAACAATTTTGCTTTTTCTTGTTAAAAAATAGTTTTAGTTCTTTATTAAATTACATGAAAACGTAATCTTACCTTGTCTTCGACTTTGTGGACCATTTTAAGAGGTTTGTGTAAGCCGCAACTCAGCTACTTCACCTTACAACAGCCAGGGCTCGAGTGAGAGGTGACATATAGCGAGCGACTATAAGGTCGAGAGTCGTGACTGGTGGGCTGTGACTCACCCGGGCCAGGGCTTGGTGGCCACATTTTACGTGACGTCATAACCCGGCAAATTTAAACATCTTAACTGTTTCAGAAATCTATATTTTTCTAGTAAAATAAACTGTTTAAATATCAGTAACATAAAGCTCGGATCACCTGAAGAATTGTCACCCCAGAGTTTGGCAGGGTGACAATTTTTCAGGTTGGATATCCTGGGGTGATATTGACTAAAGCAATGATTATACACTAATAAACATTTATAGCGAAAAACAGAAGCAAGGAACATTGACTGGCCAAACTATTAGGATGTGTATTCTTTCTGGAAAACCACAGGAATAAATCGAAATATTTTATGGGAAATTATACAGGTACTATACCCAAGGCCAAACCTTTTGTTTCTATACATTAATAAAGCAGCAGCAAAGACGTCTTTTGGCAAGGTCACTGGCGGGGTCGGCTACTGAGCGACAGAGTTTGTAGGGGAGGTATCCACTAGAGCGTCACTACATGCAACAGTTGCCAAATTTAGACAAAATCATATTACAAGAGATGGGTTGCCACAAATGATGAGCAGAACAGAGTGATGTCTGCTAGATTTAAAACTAAATTAGAGTGTAGAAGTTCAGAAAATTTCAGAAGTGGATCGCAACTGGAACCTAGTAGAACCCCAGGGCTTTCTATCGTTTCGACGTCAAAATTATGAAACTTGGAGAGAGCAGTTGCAAGACCAGGATAAAGTGGAAGCATTGAACGATTTCTCATTGTTAACAAGAAAGGATACAAATAACGTCGTTGGGTGTGAGGCAAGGCATGTCGGTTGTTTACAAGGAGATGTAAACAACTTCAATTTGTTATCTATAGTGACGCCGAGGAGCTTGGTGGAGTCCACAAGCTGGGTTGTGTTGGGGCCGGATGTAATGGAGGGAAGTGGGACATGGTCGAAGGAGAGGTTGATGTGCATAATTATGGTCAAGGTAATGTTCATGGTGGCCCAGTTCTGGAAACTTCAATATATTCTGGTCCCATCTTGGTGCCTTGGGCAAGTGAGTGACTGAAAGGTGGAGACGGCCCCTTCGGCTTGGCGTCGGTCACTAAGAAATTCCGTAAGCCAGGGGAGGCAACTTGCATAAGTCTTCCCCTGCCATTGTATAAGACTTCTCCAAAACTTGAAGTCGATGGCTTTGTTGGTGGTTAAATTATGGTTGACAAGTCGAATGCCTGAGTGTGTTTGTTTGTGTGAGTGTGTGTAAGGTTTGTTGGTAACGGCACCCCCTCCCCTTCATGTTCACTGTTGTGTACCTTGTGTTCATCTCTGTACGTCAACAATAGAAAAATTTACAAATTATATACTGTATGTAAAAATTGCCTGGGTGGTGTGCGTACTTACAGCGGAGCGGAGGGAGTTACAAATGCCTCGCTCAAGGTCGATCACTGCTACGTTGTCTTGGCGATAAATCGATAACATTACTTAGCCGTACCCTATACTGTAGTGAAACACATTCACAGTAGTTTTTATCTTTAATAGTACGGTATATTACCACTATAAACTGGAAATGCTTAGCTAGATACATCGGGATTGGTATATAAAGAAATAAATTATAGTAAATCTAATCAAACTGGTGAGGTGAGGATTAATTTGTATATTTCTGGTCATATTACAAACGTTACATTAAAGTGAATGGAAACACTTGGATAGCTCAGACAGTATGTGACTGATGGTTAACCTCATTTCTTATGGGGTTGAGAGACACGGGCCACGTTGTCACAGCAACTGGTGTAAGCACTGGCTCCATCGCCCCAACCAGTGACAAACAGCTATACACCTGAAACTCACACCTCACACCTATTGATCAGTCAATAATAAGCACATAACTAATAGGGCTTCGTTAATGGTAAATAAAGTGATAAAGAGTAATTGAACGAGATTGCTATTGCCTGATGCACTACTCAGCTGCCTTGTATTGATTTTATTGAAATGTTATACCATATAAAATATAAACCAAGTAACCACTGCCTAAATAACCCTCGCAGATGAAACACCTGAATCTTAACCTAAAACAAACCTATTACAAACAATATCAGTCGAGATCGTTTTGTGTTTGTTAATACCGTTAATATTAAGGTAAACTACTTAATTCATTATGATTTTGTGATGAGTTGGAAAGCGAACGAAACTGGGCCTTAGAAATCATTACAGTGGCCCTTCATGTTAGACGACTTAATAGCATGAGAGGACATTTACATTCGTTGAATAATTTAATTGATGTTGAGGGTACGGTGTGTGTGTGCCGCACACAGGGTGGTGAAATGCGTATAGTGCGACAGCATTATGTTAGTGTTAAGATACAAGCACTGCTTGCTCCCTCTCGAAACCCAACAAACTGGGCTATCGGCAGTCTATTGCAACTCTACCTCTCCCCAGTCGTTGCAACACTTGCACCACTGGATCAGGAAAAGGGAGAGCCAAGATGTGTGGTTGCAGCTTGCGCTCCTGCCTCACCACATAAATCAACTCACGCGCAGCCATCATCCAGTTCATCATACCTCTCATCATCATCAAAACCCCTATACCCCCAAAAGTCCTATGGCGACGGACAAGTGGCGGCGGGAACAGGCAGATATGACTGTCGGGAGTCTCTAATCACAACTCTGCACATGGGCGGCACAGATAAGATGGTCGTTTATGCACTGGGATCTAGGCAGCAGTGCAATCCGGTCCTGTCTGTGCGACTGAGCAGCCCTTTCGAGGAGTCACTCTGCTCACCCCACTTGGGGAGGGGGCTAGAACAGGTGTCCTAAACATAGCCTGCCTAAAAACCCAACCTGACTGGGCAACCGCACCCAGTAAGGTCATCCTTATGCGGTCGAAAACACAGTCAAAATCACAGATCCAAAAACAAAAAAAACAAAAAAACATATAACCTCTTATGGTCGTCATTAGTGAGTCCCGGCTCCCAGATGAGGGACAGCTCACAGAACGGGGTTCTGGCTTTACCTTCTTCTGGAAGGGTAAGCCTGCTATGTAGAGAAACAGCATTTATGGAGCTGGCTTTGCCATCCACCAATGTATCCTACACAGGCTAACTGAAATGCCTGTTGGGATCAGCGAGCACCTCATAACGCTTAGAGTCCCACTGAGATACTCTCGTCATGCCCTCTTCATCAGTGCATACTCCCAACACTGGATGCAGAGGATGACATCAAGGAGGCCTTTAACGCCGACCTCGACAGAGTGCGAACCTCTATCCCCAGAGAAGACAAGGGTGTGCTCCTTGGTGACTTCAATACCAAAGTTGGCAGAGATACTAACATTTGGCAGGGAATCATAAGGAGAAATGGACTAGGCAAATGTAATGCCAACGGCCTACTTCTCCTCAGCAAGTGTGCTGCACACAGCCTCACTATCAACAATACCTTGTTTCGGCAGGCCGACAAGTTCAAGGGTTCATGGCAACACCCACGATCCAAACACTGACATATCATTGACTACATCATTGTCAGAGAAAGAGATCGCCGAGATATCCTCGTCACCCTTCGCCATGCGTGGCTCAGACCACTGCGACACTGATCATCGACTTGCCAGAGCCAAGCTCTCACTTCACGTCGCCCCAAAACGGCGAAGACATCAAGCCTCCAGAAGAGGTTTTAATAATAAGCGTCTGGAGGATCCAGCAGTGGCACATGCTTTCAGAGAGCAGCTCGAACATGGGCTGATAAACAACCCAACAGCAAACAAAGCGAATCCCAGTGCAGAATGGGATACTCTCAACACTGAGTGTAATGAATAAAACCTGCAGAGAGACCCCTCGGCCAGATTGTCATGGGTTGCGTTAGGCTTACCCACGCAACCAACTCCAAAGTTTGCTTTACTAGAGATAGGCACCCGGCGAGGCATAGCTGGGACATATATTTTCCACTAGTGGTAAGTTAGCCAGCCTTTAGGGGGGGGGGGTAGTGAGACAGTGTTGTACTGTTCATCGCTCCACACCCAAAAACCTCTTTTTGAGCAGTATCCCCGTGGCCATGGGTTAGTCAAGACGCCCACCTCCTCCCTCCTGAAGGGAACGGGACATAACGGGGGATAATATTGATTGAGATGACCTGGAGGAGAGCCAGAATGGACAGGGTTAGTCACGACACATTGACACAATGTGGTGTCACAACTTGTTTTTAACCCCCTTATGTCTGGCGTTAGCCAAGTAAAATATTGAAAGTGTCGTCCCGATAGTGACGAGGTTAATATAGGGGCAACTGAGATATGGAAACATACAAATGTTTACAAATGGAGTATTTGGTCAACTTCTTAGAAGACTTGATATGGCTGTTCTAAGAAAAAGTCGAACGTACGCAGTCTACGTGAGTCCCGGAGTGTTGGAGGCGGGGCATGAGTAAAAATTTTCCTGTTTATGAGAGGTCTGGTTCGTGTTGAAATTTTAAGAATATTACGTCTTTGTTGGCATATCCTTGGTCGAAATACACTTGCCTCCACTACTCATATACCTGATGTGGCACTGTAAATTTGTCTGGCAATTTTACTAATTATCTATCAATCGTTCTCAGCTGCTAGTGCTACGTGGTATATTGTATACGTATTGTACGTACGTATATCATGGTAATGCATGACTTTCCCCTCTTGTTCTGATAAACTGTTTGCGATTTAACAATATCTTTCTGTGATAACTGCCAATGTGAACAACTGTCGTATCGAATTTGTGTGGATTCCACCCCATGTTGGAATTAGGTATCATGACCGTGCCGATAGACTGGCCAATTAGGCATGTAAGAAAGAAAATATTGACTGTGACCTTGGCCTGTCCAATGCTGTACTTAAAAACACTCAAATCAGAATCATGAACTCTGATCTAGAAGAACTGAGAAATGCAGAGACCTAGCAGTTGTAGCATTAGTAAATATGAAAAATTTTGTGACGAGAGGTACCGGTATGGCCAGCATAATAAGGACAGAACCAGACAATGTGATGTAGTCGTGGCCAGAATTAGGCTAGGATACAGACACACCTGGCAAGTTAGTAACGCTGTACCCATACCGGAACACTCAGCATGTAAACTTTGTGATAAACCTTTAAAGCATATACTTGAACACTATATTATTGAATGTGGCACTGTCAAAGACTTCAGGCCACCTGGCTTATTGCATCATGAACTTTGTAATCACTATATTGAATCGGGGGTGCTTGGGGACATTCTTGCTGCTTATCCAAAATTTGCTAGCCCACACTAATTAGTCTTCAATTAGAATATGATGTCCAATGCATATGAACCAATCTTGCATGGCAGCGAACAGTGACATCACCCACATGACTCTGACCTATATATACTGCTAATGAATAAGATCTATTCCTTTGTGTGTGAACCTCTGTCCTGCGTGGCAGTGAGAAGTGATACCACCCTCAGTGTCAAGACCTGACTGAATTACTCAGAATAGGCAAACTGTACTCCAAGCTTTGTCTCACACAAACATGCAACAGATAAACAGACATGAACACACTCCGGCACGTTATACAGATCCCTACTGGTACTCAGTTTCCTGTTCTTTCTTTGTTTATGTTTCATCACGTGATACGGACGTGACGGCCACGCCACAATCATCAGTCATCCTGTCTCAGCTATCTGTCTACCCCCCGTCGTCCGGCCTGGTAACATCCCCGTCGTCCGGCCTGGTAACATCCCCGTCGTCCGGCCTGGTAACATCCCCCCCCCTGACGTCTGCAGTCTCCCTGCCCTGTCAGTGCACCAGGAAAATTATGAAGTGACATTAAACTTGTGTGTAAAGTATGTTGCAGAGTTTATCTCTTTAATTCTTTAACTTAAATACACATACTTTCAAACACATATGTATACTGTACTGTACACATACAAATATATACACACCCACATGGATGGGGTTACACAGTCGACTTCTCCCTGGGCACACCCAATAATAGATAGTGATATTTAATTATCATGCATGATGCTCCATCATTAGGGTATTTGGGTAATAGGTGATATAAACCAATCTTCAGGTGATCATATTTCCCATACAGTAATACAAAACTTGAAAATAGGTCAGCAGCGGTTATAATTATTATACAGTACAGAACAGTAGTGCAATACTGAAATTCAATGGGAGAAAGTTGAGAAGAGCAGAGATGGTAATTTACTGCTAGCATATATAACTTATCATTGATGTTGGTCTGCAGTAGATATAGTTCTGTGAAAGTAGCTGTTATATTTTGAAACATTTGCAAACATCATAGGAGAGGTTACTGAACACACTAGTACAGTATAGGGATGTTTTAACATGAGATTCATTGCAGGAAAATTGCCGAACAAAATAAGTTGAATACTGGGCCAACTATGCTGTAGGCCTTTATTAGTAAAATTTAAATTAACTACTGTTACTGTGAACAGGAAGGGCCAATCTAAGCATTTTATTGACGGGAGGGGGAGGGGGGGAGAAAAATGGGTCCAGTACTAAGAAAAAACTTTTAAAACTGACATCATCCTTTCATTTGCTACACAATTTACTTCTTTAGTTGCAATTTTTCGATATGGAAAAAAATATAACATCGATCTTTTTTTTGCTTATCTTTACCCACAAGTGCCAGTTGTTGAAGTTTGTGATAACCAAGTAGTTGTTAAGCACTGGATTATGATAAGACACATAGGTGGAAAGTTGGTTTCTTATCTCACATCAGATAAAGCGAAGTGTTAGAATTATTTCGTTATACAGTATTTGTATAATAAAGTCCTTTCCTGCTGTGGTATAAGACCAAAGGCAACACAAACTCTCCCTGCATTTGCTGTTATTCATCCTCACTAGTCAGTTCTTCTATGATGTTCCTGTTTAATAACAAGAACCCCAAGAATTGCATCAGTTTTGTCCCCTGTTGATTCCATAACCACACTGAATTTTCTACTGTTTATTGTTTTAATAATTCTCCAATATTATAACATTATTTTCTATTCTATAACATGATTAAGAGTAAGAATTAGATTACAGCTGCTATGCTGATATAAAGGTAAGGTTCTAAGGATATGCTTTCAGTATAGTACTGTATATTCAAATTGTAGTTCAATTATTTATTTGTATATTCACATTGAATTGAGCACATTTTGCTAAAAAACACAATGTGATACAGTACAGTATCTTTATTATAGCAAAAGGCAGGAATAGAGTAACTGCCAAATCCACTTATGGTCATTGCCATATCAAGAAAGTAGGGTTACCAATACAGTAAAGGCAAGAATCCTTTATTTGTTGTTTGTCATATTGTATCACACTGAAAAACCAACGATTTATTTTTTATTGACTGAACAGTACCGAACGTGATGATTGAGTTTACTGGCAAAGCTTGTGCCTTTTGTGTTGGAAATAGCAGGCAAACCCAGTTATTCATAGCCTCAGTATTCGTAACCCCGTTTATCTGCAATCAATTTATTGTTACCCATTTTCACTATTCGCAATGGTTGCCCCGTGTGTTTTAATATTCTACGTATTATTAATGAATTGTTTTGTTCACTTTGCACACAAACATTAATTCAATAGAAAAGACATTCAGTAATAAACATTAATGAATCCTTTGTACATCAGAGAAATGACGCTGTTTACGCGATTGTATACATATGAACGTTGGCCTTCTGCTGTCTCACTTTTTTCTTTACCATTAGTGGTTACTTCTACTGCACATTCATTAAATAACATTAATTAAAAAAAAATTTTTTTTAATTTTTTTACTACAGCAACAACAAATTTTATTTTCTTCAGTTTCAGATGGAGAACCATCTTCCCGGGTGTAAACACTGACGACAATTATTAATTTATTTTGTATAAAGTGCATTAATAACCATTATTTAAAGAATATAGTTTTTATTTTTCATTAATTTTCCTTTTATTGGGAAAAAAGAGGGTAAAATACCACACAGCATATATGAAAAGGTCAGACCTTGGAACGCATCTAATTATTATTGTTTTATTTTAATGGTAATTATGGATTCATTATACGTTGATTCACCTTACACTGCACTATTGGAACACATTACCGTCGTTATTCAAGGCTTTACTGTATAATTAATGTACGTGTTTCCATATTCCTATCAGTTTTATTCAACAGTACATACAGTATATAACAAATATACATGTGGCAATTCTTTGTAAAAAAATAGAATTAAGTGTCTTTCACTGCAACAATATTACCTCAACATAAAGGTATATTCCACAACAGTTGTTTTCCTATTAGTTGAAGTAAGTCGAGTACAGTAATTTATCCAGTTGTTGTTACATTGAATCGTCTATTCAATGGACTATATGGAGAAGAAAATCCATTACATTGAGGGTCAGTTAGATGGTAAACCCCCATCTAATGGATTATATGGAGAGTAAAGTCTGTTATCTGGAGGTTTCACCATACAGATATAAAATAAATATAGGTCTTTCTTAATCCACTTCAAAAGGACTGCTGTGCTCTCTTTTGAACTTTCTCAATATTTTCTGCAGAGTTCAGTTGTTCAAGAGTGAGAAGAGACACTCCTAACTGGTCATCTCGGGTGAACGGCTGAGCCATCTGCCTTAGCCACGGCCTTGTTACCTGTGTGAATGGAAAATTACATTACAGTATTATCTCTGTTAGATGGAATCCCTCAAACACGGAACTCTCTGATGGCCGGAATTGAAATTTTCTCGTAAAATTCCAGCTTTGGAAATGATTTTCCCGAGGGGCACATTTTCCAGAAAATACCAAGAAAATTTCCCCGATACCCGGAAAATTCTGGGGATGGGGAGATTTTTCCGGGTTTGAGAGATGATGAAATGAGCAATTTCTGAAACTACCGAGAACATTTTTCTGTTACCCGGAAATAGGGATTTTTTTCCAGCTTTGAGAGAGTCGTCTCGTTACCCGGAAATTTCTCATTCCCGGAAGTGCTCTGCACCAATTGTTCCGGCTAACGGGGATAACACTGTATACTTGAACTGGGAACTATTCAATTAAAGGTTTAGAAAAATTGAATACCATGTATGCTCCATCCCACAATTCTTAAGTGGCATCTAAACCAGTGATTGTGTAATTAGGTAAATGATTTATAGAATGAGAAGAAAGGAATGAAAATGACCTAAAAAATAAATAATAATACCACAGCATAAAGCCACACTCTTAACTTTACCTTTGACGGACAGTACTTACTTAAGCAACATAAAGTCATACACGTAATGTATTTATATATACCGGTTATTTTGTTTTTCTGAACTAATATTCCCAAATTATTTCAGTTCCCACTATGTTCCAAAGAACTTACTTATGAAAATTGTAAGGCTGTCTGTCATACTCCAATGAGGCAAGGAATGAATAATAATTTGAACTAAAAAGGAAAATAGATGCACAAATTTGTACATAATGATCAATGAATAAATTCTCATGAAAAGAATAGAATTGTGACAAGCAATCTTCTGACAGAATGCACAAACAAGTAATTTAAGTCTTACCTGCACAGCTTCCTCTGTAGAAAGGTTGCATTTACTATCTACCAAATGTTCTTGGATCCATCTTGGCAATTTATTTCGCTTATCTGCCCGAGCAAAACGTTTGTCTGCGAAGAGCATAATACCATAATCGGTCTTTCCACGCATAACTCGTCCAACACACTGAGCAGCATGACGCATGGCATCAAAAGTCAGAAAGTCACTTTCTCGAATCTGGTAAACAGTGAAATAAGATGGTTCATACTTAATGTGGATTTTGTTTTATTTTTAATATAATGCAATTTTATGCTGTAATTGCCAGCACTATATACAGTACATAGCACAGTGTTATTATATTTAATTTTTGTATAAACAAGAGGGAGAAAGGGGAATATACACTATAGGATGACAACTATTTAACTGACAAAACCCTAAACATTTAAGCTTACCTATACAGTCGTCTGTTCACTTGAACTTTGCAACTGAAGCCGAGGGTCAGTTTGTAACATGACAGCTGATCGGCTGGCAGACTGACGTACAAAGAGTCACTATAATTCTCTAGTATATAATCTATCGTACTTATTATTTGAAATTTTAAGGGTTACTAAGTTTCCTGTGTTGATCTCTGATAATTTCTGCACTTGAAGCAAAAATAAGCTTGTGAAATATACTGGCATAAAAATGACAAAGGGAACTCCTTGCTGCAGGACTTCACACAGTGCGATCGAGGATGTCACTGAAATTCTGATATCCTTTTCTTGTTATCTGTATGATATTTGTATTATCAGTATGTTTCACAAGATAATTTTTGCTTCCCAACTGTTGAAATTATCAGAGATCAACAAAAAATTTCTTAACCCTTAAAATATCAGATTATAAGTACGATAGATTATATACTAGACAAGTGTAGCGACTCTTCATATGACAGTCTGCCAGCCAATCAGCTGCCATGTTACAAACTGACCCGAGGCTTCAGTTGTATAGTTAGAGTGAACAGACTATAGTTTACCATCTAAAAGAGTGTACAAATAATAGAGTTGTAGACACTGTACTTTAAATTACTATGTTTCTATTTTCACTCTGTGTCCTGCAGTGTAAATCTATCATTCTCCATGACAACCTTTTGTTATGCGATGAGCAACTCATGCAAAATCTCTTCAAATGTGGTCAAGGAATATAAATTTTATTTTTCCATACATATTCCCCTTTTATTGACACAGTGCACAACAGTCCTGCTTAATTCACCCACTATTTCTTTACATAGAGTATTTTTCTGTTTCTAATACATACAGCTTCCCCTTAGTCAAAAATCCTGCTTTAGTACAGTATTCTAAATACTGTACACACATATTATTAAAAAACAAGAATGGACAAAGTCAAGCATATTATCCTGTACTTACATTGAATTGGTCACGCAAATACTCCAGTCTGGCCTTCAGAATTCGACTCTGGGTATACATGAAAGGGATGCCCATCATGATGACGCATCGCCCATAATGGTGGTCAAAATCTATTCCTTCTGACACTTTCCCTCTCGCAACAGCAAGAAGAATAGCTCCTCGTCCTCTATCACAGGCCTGAAGATGAATACAGTACGGTACAGTACAGCTGTCTCTTGCAACCTCACTTGTCAGGTTCTTAACTCTAATGTTAGAGTTAATGGTATTTCGTGGACAAAAATGTAAATAGAGATGAATGGAAGCTAGTGTCGGTGCAGGCATCAACACAAACTATATTAGCCGTCCAGATATTTTAAGCCATCCGGTATCCAGCCAGATAGTAAAATTCACTATCTGATGCATCCCTAATACATTATTATTATTGTTCTTGGCTATCACAAGATTCTGTCATCTGAGGGGCACTGTACCTACCAGGGGACACATCGTTCAAAGTCAAAATGTTCAAGCACTGAAACTGGTAAGAATAGCTGATATAGTCCATAAATCTCTTAAAGAATTAATAAAAATCTTTGAACCTTCTTACGGTATTGCGACCACAAGGGTGAGGAGCGCCATTGGTTCATCCTAAAAAAAATTCAAATTTAATACATAGAGAACCGAAATGCTGTAACAATGCTGTTTCTAACCTTCATGTAGTTGACGAGGGCAAGGGAAGTTTCTGCATCATCTTGTGTTTCAATGAACACCAACTTATGTCTCTGCAGGTCACTTATAATGCCATGATCATACCAAGTGGCAACAACATTTTCCAGGTACAAGTATGAGGTAAAGAAGCACACCATTCCTGTTATGAGAGAGAGAGTGAATTTTGTGGTTTAAATTATTCTTGGATGAAACTTTTTTCTTTTTTACCAAGCATGTGTACGTGTGTGTGTGGGTGTATTATAATATTAATTAAAGTTATTCACTCACACACACACACATGTACTTTTATAAAAATTCTTTTCTAACTATAGTCAGCAATACTATCGCACAATATTATTCTTTACATACAGTAGAGTACTGTACTGTACAGTACATTAAATAAAGCAAATACACCTACCATCAGGTACGCTTCTTGCCATTTCTACAAGAAGTTTGCCATAATTACGAACAACGGCAGGATCATCTCGTGACTCAAATTTAGACGATATAGCCACTTGATCGTTGCCCTTTGTCACAATCTACAAATCATATAATTTTAGTCAAACTTTATGAATTGATCAACATCAGGCCAACAAAAGCTATGAAAGATGAAGAAGTATCACAAATAATGAATTCAGAGAGAACTTATGTACCTGAAAAATGGAAAACTATAAGGTATGAATAGAGTAATTACATAATAAGATTGTGAAAAATAAAGGTGAATCAGCAGAGGCATGCATAAAAAGTGTGTGTATGGCAGCAATGATAATTGAAACTGCATCTACCAAGACAAAAGATATTATGGTTTTATTCTTGTAAAGGGAGAGAGACTCAACTAACTGTGTTCAGTCTGAGACATACTGTATTGATCTAAAACAAAAAAAGTGGGGAGGGATCCATATCTAGACCCTCAAAATTTTTTTACTTTTGATTATTCTTACACCTTTTAGTGTTGACTTTGTCAATATTTACATAATTTACTGAAGAAATCTACACGATGTGGTCATGAAATAAGTAATTACCATTTCCTTAACCCCTAGGCTTCAGGTCCCACAGTATGATGTTTTGTAATTTTGTGGTACTGTTTGAATCGTGACATGGGCCTGGCTAGATTATGTTGCCAGGTTGGCATTTATTTTTCACTCGCTCACAGATGCCAGGGATTTCGCCCTTGGCTTCACATACCTCACCAAATGTGTCTGCCCCTCAACCCCCAAGCACAAGTATAGTAGGGGTCTCTTGACTATTCCCTTAAACTAAGATACATATGAAAGACCTATGAGGCCTGATGCTTGTGATCCCCTAATGTAAATGAGAATGGAACTAATTTTAGTTAAGCAACAGCACAAAAATAAAGTATAGCTGACAGAGACCTGTGTGAGAACAACTAGTGTAAAATATAATATATACATAATAAAACTCACCATTGGGAGGATACATGGCCGAGCCAATGTCATGGTGAATGAATTCTGAATAACTGGGTGGAAATCTAAGATCTTAGGATACATATCCAATGGTGACAGGGTACCAGATGTGATCACAACTGATTGAAATTTTGTGAAAACTGGCTTGATGGCAATGGACGAATCAAGACATCTGAAAATACAATTTACTGGTGAGCAAAACATACTTTCATGCACGAATAAATGGAGAAAACATAGCACGTCTTATAAAAATACTAAGAATATAACCGATAAATGCATGCAGTAATATATGCCAGGTATGGGAGCTCAATAATACAATCCAGTATTATAGCCAAGCAACCTGCAATATTCCACCAACTAGACCACTTGGCAGAGTTTGAGAAAGAAAGCCCCATGCCAAACATTGTGGGATGGTTCAGTAAGTAAGGAGATACTCTGCACTAATTACACTTATCTTATAGGACAGTGTAATCTACCAACAAAACAGTCCAGCAATGAAAGGTTCTCCTAGGGGGTAGCTATTCTAGTTGGTGGGATTTCACTAAACATTCACTCATGACCCACAGGCTATAAAAGTTGGTCATTCAATCAAAAATTCATTGTAGATGTTATACCTGTTAGTTCAAATACTGAACTGCCTCCAATTCTTATTTTTTTTTTACGGGGAATAGCCCATCCAGGCACTGGTCATTGACCCACAATGGGGCCTAGGGGGCGAAAAAATAAGAACAGAAAGAAATTAAAAATAGAAAAGGAAAAGGTTATATTAATCTACACCACAAAGGTGCTGGGAACCATCTATTTAAAGTGAGACAGATTGCACGAGTGTGGAAACACAGAAGAAGGCAGAGCATTTCACAGTTTGGCTGTGTGAGGAAAGAAGGATGTACTATAACGGGTTATTCTAGTGTGACCGACATCAAGAGAGAAACAGTGGGCACCGCGGGCAAGATGAGTGTTCCGAGCCCACGGCCTCGCCGGCGGTAATCGTGTTTATGTTATTTCTGCTGCAGTGTACAGTAATTATGAACATTATACTTTTTAATCATGCTAGTCTTACAGCAACTGATAACTCTGTATTTTAAAAATTTCTCTCAGGAGATTTATTTAAATTCAAGTAAAATCACAAAGAACTTTAGAAATGACTTACCTTAAATACATTATGGGATTTGGAATATTTGGAGCCTTGTCCTCAAAAGGTTCTATAATTACTACAAAACCCTGCATGTACGTGGACACTAAGGTGGCAAAATGAGCAACAGCGATTAAGGGTGAAAGGTCACTGATATCTGTCAATTCTAAGGAACGGATAATTGAAGAAAGACGTTCAGAGCAGAACCTAAAAAGTAAAGAAAAAGTAATAATGAGAAGTTTTACATTATGGTTTTCAATTTCAATATTACTGAAATTTAAAAGTACAGTACAGTAATCCAACCTTTACCTTGATATAAAGTGAGCAAGATCCTACAAATAATCTAAAATGATTCAGAGTAACTTTAGATTTCCTGAATATTGAAGCTTCATAGTGCAATATATTAACCAGAACAGAATTCCATACACATCTATCTCTTCATGCCACTCCCCCCCCCCCTCTCTCTCTCCCATAACAGTCACATGGTTGGCATAACCTGATAGTCCACATTCTGACAAAGCATTTTCTGAAATACTGTACTATCCAAAATTAATCACTAATTACCTAAATGATTCAATTACCAGTTTGTTTCACTCACCCTTCTTTTAAACCACAAATAAATAGCTGAACTTTACCTTAATGGCTTACGATCAATGAAAGCTCTGTTTTTAAGGTCTTTGAGTATGCCTGCTGGGGATTCCTGAACAGCATGTGTCACAGTCAGGCGCATTTTCAAGAAGTCAATTAAACGACGCATGAAAGATATGAAGAAATCTGCTGTTCTAATATTTCCAGGGACATTTTCTGAAATAATAGAACACACATTGTATCTTCTATATTAAGAGCAAATATTTGTATACAGTAAGACTTTTCTACTCTTTAAATACTGTAGGATGATGTGGGGAGAAGTTTGCCCATTATTTTAAATGTGGTATATCTCTCCCTACTCTCCTATGAGCACTGTAATAGCAATGAATAAAAGGAACTTATATGTCTTGAATTTGAGGAAAACAACATTGATGGGCAAAGGAGTTGGCTTGAGGCAAGTGTAGGACATAAAGTTTGGAGCATCTGAAAAGGTATAATCAAGAGAGGGTATGGCATTAGTGATGAGCAATAACATGTGAGGATATGCAATGGAATATTATGGGGTCAGTCCCAGAATACTATGAATCAAATTAAAAGCAAGGTATGAGAGAGGAGTTACTTTAGCACATGCACTAATAATGAGATGAAAGAGGATAAGATCTGAAGATTTTGGGAAGATATGAGTAACTGCATCAGAAGTTTCAGAGTGAGAGAAAGTGATGGGAGATTTATACTGTATGTGAGAGAAGTCATTTAACATACGACTTATAGGCCATAAAAAATTCTTGGTTTAATGAAATATACAGTATTATGATGATTGGTGCTCAACACTCCTAGGTGTGATACAAAATCTATCTACCTGAGACATGTTACACTTGTCATCCAACTCAAAATTTACGAACAAAAAGAAACTTGTCAAATTATTTCCTACTTTGTGATTGATTAGGGGAGGTACACATCATGTTGTACCCAGACAATTGACCCATACTTAGACTTGGCTTCCTGAGTAGATGATGGAATTAAAGTCACACAGTATACATATAATTTGGGATGTGAAGGCATACCTCTTCCTATGGCCTGAATATTTGTGAGCCATCTGGTCAGAGGTCATTGAATACTGTACTTGAGACCATGACTAATGAGATGTCAGGCCAATACAATAACATACAATTCAAGCTGTGCATACATACAAGTGAACTACAGTACAGTACAGTACCTACCTTCTAAGAGATCTTTTGGAAGAATAGGGTTAGCAATAATTTCTTGTTGACTGGCAGCCTGCCGAAGACCTGCTACTAGTCTGTTATATTCTTCCTGAAGTCGGTTACTATCAGATACCTTGATCCTACAAGAGAGGAATATGCTGTAATAACATTTTGCCACAAGTTTTTACTTTCTTTTCTCACAAAAGACTAATCCAAATTTTCCATCTTACACTGTAAGATTCTTACAGTGCATCACATTACAGAAGTCAGAACAAATGGGAAAATGAAGTTCCCATAGATGCTGAGTACAGTACAGTAGGGTATGCTATAACGAATGGATTCTACTACGAATATTCCTATAACGAACGGTTTTACCTATACAATTGAGAATGCTATAACGAACGAAACTCCTACAACGAACATTATTTATTTTTTACTTATTTATTGTTTTTTTATTACAAGTATTAATGATATTCTTTATTTCAGGGGTTTAGATGCATATTTATGCACTTTTTAAAAATTTTTACAATTTTATATTATATTTTTCAGTGTTAAGTGGTTGTATTTGGGGGCCTGGAACGGATTAATCCTATAACGAACAAATGCTATAACGAACAAGGTTCGGGAACCAATTAGATTCGTTATAGCATACCCCACTGTATAGTGTACATGGTGAGGGAGTATTACAGTGGATAAAATAACTGTTATTGAGAAAATTACTCATATCTCTGCTTCAACATAAGTTCTCCCATTGTTAAATAAAGGCAACTAACTTTCCCATTTATTATTACTGTATACTGTACTCCTTTCTCATCCCTGTGTGGTGTGAGTCATGGGGAAAATACATGCCAAAAATAGGAGGAATTAATAGGGAAGAATCTTGTATATCTGGTAAGAGTAGTAAGCAACAGGGCCAAGACAACAAGTATAATCATTTACAGCTCATATTCTTAATAAATTTATAGTCTATTAGTAATGACTGATAGAATTTGACCAACCTTTGTACATGTTCATTAAGGTTGGTGACACATGTTTTAGCCTTGTCCAAAATTTTTCTGTTGATGTTAATGCTCATTGAATCTACACAAATGTTATCTGGAACACAAAGTAAAGTGTAAAATTTTAATATAGCATGTGGGTCCATGACCTGTGCCCGGGTGGGCTAATCCCTGTAAAAAAGAAAAAAAAACACGAAAATCTAGTTAAATGATAATTGCATTTACAGTGTATGTGAGCATTGAAGGATAGATACTTCTTTCCTGGTACCATATAAGTTTCCAGAGAACTGAACTGCGATTGCCAAACACTGTAAGGGTTATATATACTATATATTCTAAGTAAATATATAATGCCACTAAAAGGATATAATATAATAATTGTCTCCTTTAATAATGTATCTAAACTTCAACATCTGTTTGTTGTTCATCCTACACTATACTCTATACCACATACTGTTTAAGTAATTTGAGTCAGACTGGAAATATGGTGCTGTTGACTTTGATGACAGTATAATGGACTTGTGACTGAGTAACTCTCATAGAGTACTGCATCCTACACACAACGGAAAACACTTACCTATATTATGAGCTTCATCAAAGATGACACAAGCTTCCCTTTTCATTTCTTTTGATACAATTTCTGAAATCTTAGGGTCTAATAGGTAGTGGTAACTGTACACGACAACATTTGCCTGCACTACCTGAAAAATGAAGGTAAAAAATAATATAATGATTAAATTTTCATCATTTCTAGTGTTGGTATTAAATGTTCCTCACTATGCTGCAGTCTGTAGGTCATGGTATACTATAGCTCCTGCAGTTAACGTTGCTGATAAAATAAGAATTAATATCAATACTTAATTCCTTATAACTGTAAATGTGTGGCCAGTGTTATGATAAACTACTTCTCAGTTTGTGTAGGGAAGACTATGGTCACAAGATGGCACTGGCCATCAGTCAGTCTGGGGTATAACTTGCCGGTCTTGGTACAATAGTATGTGGAGCCCTGTGATTGGTCCTGGTCTGGAGGTGGAAAATCTGGTGTACTCCAGTCAGTTACTGAGTATAGACTGTGAAGTCAACATCTGGTCTCCTGTCTCCTAAACTATAAGTATGGAGTGTTGTGCACTCTTATTGTTCCAGATTTATTATATTTTATATGGTGATGTTTACGATTTAGTGATTATTTATATTATTGTGTGATAGTTAGCATTTATTGTTCATTTATTATTAATCTAGTTTTCTGATTTATTTTGTTGTAGTATATATTTTATATAAAATTCCGTCATCAGCTTTAGTTATTTTTGTAAATAAATAGTAAGATTAAACCTTGAAGGTAATTTTCCTTATTAAACGGGCTGTAGAACTTGTTATGGGAGGGGCGGGTTAAAAACTCGCTTAGTATCGTAACACCAGACATTATGTTACTTAGTTGAGTTTAACAGCAAAATAAGTACTGTACTGTACATCATATTTGGTAGATTGTCATCATTACCCTCTGATAAGTGATAAACAGGTACAGTATACTCTTGATTTAACATGCGCCTGGCAGTGGAATTTAACGGAATCACGCTTGATTTAGTTAACTAGTTCACTAAATTGAGAGAAAATAACTGAAATTTGATTTAGCGGAAATTGTGATTTAACGGAACAGGGCGGCTCGAATTAGTTCATTAAATCAAGAAAATACTGTAGTATCATGGGAGAACTAATCACAGTTGCAAGTCACATCCCCTCACTTATGGTAAATAAATTCTGTAATAAATAAAAAATTATCATGATTTGGCATTAAATGCAAACTTAAAGCAAATCAGTAAAGGCATTACAGTAGTATTAACATTTAAACTCGTAGTCTGATCCATTAAGTACACTGCACATATTTTAAGAAGGGTCGGAGATAAAAGTCACTTACAGCATGTCGGGCTAAAAAATAGGGGCACCAGCCTTTCTGATTTCCAAACTCTCGGAGGTCATCAAGATTGTAGCATCCAGCAGGGAGAGGAAACTCTCTACCGTGGAGATCAAATTTTTCAAAAAAGTCACATTGAGGTATAGTGTCATCCCGCTGAGCCCTGGAACGTACATAGGAGGCTGTGAGTGCATGGCAGCCACCATCAATCAACTTGCCATCTCTTGCCTTATTGACCTGTATGGGAAACATGGAGTAAATAATTACATAACTAGTGTACAGTAATCTAAATCCATTCTATACCACAACCTTGAATATCATCATTCACTACAACGAAGGAAACTAATTAAGGAACCTAATATTATATCAGGAAGGGTTACTCAAATCATCAGGTTTATGGAGGGCCAACATGGTCTGGTTGATCCAGTCAGTGAGTTAAGAGATCACAGCTTTCTAACTTTACTTTAGTTATGTACAAAATTTCATGCTATGTTGAGATTTTGATACAGGGAATATTAATATAAAATTTAGATGAAATACCTGTATGTATATGATTACTGTACTGGAGTCTACATAAAAAGTCCCCATTGTTTTGGGTTAATTAAGAGTCTTATCAATGTTATTTTACACAAACTTACAGTATGGACAGTGTTTTAGCAACTTTTAACATAAAAAATGTTTTATTAAAGGATTATTGTACAGTAGTATTGTACTTTACTATATGCCTAAAAGTAAGTTTGCAATCAATAGTTTTAAAAATTTACTTTATTATATTTTTCATACAACTAATAAATGTTGACTAAACCACAAATTCTCCATTCATCTCAAAATCAGTCTTAGGTAACAAAAATAGTCCGTACAGTAAAGTACACGTAAAACCTGGGTAGTACCTAATCATTCTTGGTAATGTACATTATTTTTATCTCTTGTTTGAAACACAGTAAACTATATTCCTCTATTATACTGTTTACAAACATTTGCTGTATATCAGTGTGCAGTACATAGGAAGTTTACAAAACATGCGCATGTTGCAATGTACAGTATTTATACTCCTGGTCTTTTCTTAATAGTATGTTAATAATCCATATAAAATTAAATTTACCTCAGGATTGATACAAAGATGTTTCCTAGAAGACAAAGCCAAACCAGTGATATTGCATGGCTCTCCATTTTCTTTCTCTATGTATGCTAACAGCTTCCGAAGTTCCTCAATTACCTGTAAAAGACACAGGCATGAACTATCATTGTTAGAAGATAATACTGTTTCCCACAGTCCATACAATGTGCAATGATCTCATAGCCAGGCAAGGTGCATTATCTCGAATATACTTTACTTAAAATTCAAGCTGGTACGCTGAAGTTCATCCCTAATCCTTTCAAACTGGTATGGTTCCATTCCATAATAGTATGAGACAAAAAATTGGATGAATCTTAGAACTCTCATTTTATGACTGAAAGGTCAACAGATGGCTCATGATTTACAGCACTCACTACCTACCAATACAGAACCATCATGTCATGTTTGAGTCAAACAGCATTACTACCAGATAAATTAAATTTACTCTTCACAATCAGTTCTGGGCTCTTTTTCTGTCCAGTACTGAAAAAAAAAACTGTCTCAACAGGAAGTAGCCTATGTACTAAATGAAATTAAGAGATTTTGATTTATGATTCTGCTTCTTACCTTTTCAATCTCTGGAATTGTTCGGGAGCAATATATGAGTTTGGTAAGATTCTGAGGATACGCTAAGAGATAAGAGACGATCAATGCAAGAAGGGAAATGGTTTTCCCAGTTCCTGAAGGCATCTCCAATATACAGTGACCCTGAGGATGAAAAAAGAAGTATGAAAATTTAAATTGTAATTAGCCGTGCATTCTAAAGATTCAAGGCTGGGGTATCAAGTCCACAAGGTGTTTTTTTTTAAAGTTCCATGTGCCTCTAGCTGACATGCCTTGGTGGACACCCCACACTCAACCCATCTCATTTTGTATAATTCTATGTGATGCAAGACTTTCTGTTTATTCAACTTTGATCTATGATATTTATTTGTAATCTATTAGTTTTTGTTCAATCTTCCAATCTTTACCCTGTACGATGTATCTCTTCTAAACATACAGTACAGAAAATTCCAAATATGAAAAAAATCAGGTTAAATAACTTCCTTCATTCCAATACCTTTGCATCAAGTGTCCGTTTCAGGTCCAACATGTATGAGTACTGCTCGGGGTAAATGAAATCATATGGGAAATACACCTGCATCCCATCCACATCAAGCCTGTAACAAAAATGTAAAACTGGTCAGTGAGTTCCAACTATAACCTGAAGTCTGTTAATGTAGAAGAGTAGCATTAGTGAGTTAACAAGCAATCTCTATAATTGTGTTGTATTTTAAACAATTTTAAGGAGCAAAACTATATCAAACCTGAGCAAGGCACAATTGTTAATCTTACAACAATTGATGTATTTTTTTGTTAGGTATCACATAACTTAATAAGACAAGTTAAGATGGGAGAGAGGACACTTGTATAACTCTTCCTTCATATTTATATTTAATTAAAGATTACTGTAGCCTTCAGGAATTATAATTGCCTTAGTTATTTGCAGTGACAATATTGTTGGGGTAGTTGAATGGATTTCAGTATATTTATCTCATATTGTTATATACAACCACACGTAGAACATTACCAATTTATCATATCATATACATAACCTAAATCGGTCAATTTATAGGATCACACCAGTCTTTATTTTTATTTTCAAAATAGGTTTTTCCTCTGGTTTTTGGTGAGTCTCGAATGAATTTGATATCCATTTGCTCTGGAAATAATTTTTTTTTTAAGATCCCCCACAATCATAATGGAATAAGTAGGATTTTCTTTCTTTTTCGAATAAATCAAATAAATCAAATACTAACCAACCAACAAAACCTAAACTAACCTAATCCCCTATTCTTCATGCCCCCCACATATTATCTTAATCTGTAAAACTATTGTGACACCACCAAATATGCTGTTCTTCACGCAGTGTACACTGGTTATTACACTTTGGACAAAATACTATACAGGTATTTGGTAAAACACCGTGTTTTGTTTTCTAAAAAAAAAGATATTCCCTCACAATTTTTCTGGTGTAACTCTGCAAATGGCGCAAAATAATAATTCTCACAATATCGGCACAGCTCTTCCAACTCAAATATCTGCTCTCGACCCACCCACTCTTTGGTCATTGGCTAAAACAAAAAAATTGGCCCAATAAGAATACTCCTATCGTTATAGCCAATAAAAAAACTCCCACTTCACACCCCGCACATGCGTTGTAGACGCTTAAGAAGCGAACACGCAAGTCTGGAGCGATGCGTGAGCGGGTGTCAGACCTCCTCCGCCAGATGTAAAAAAATCATGGCGACACTTGTGAATGAGCGAAAGTAATAATCTTGAAAACTAATATCTTGGTCATACTTAACTTCCGGTGGAAATATCATAGAAGAAAAATGTCTTAGAATTGTCTAAACATTATGAAATGCACATTAATAACAGCGAAATAAAGACCGGTGTAAAATTATAATTTCACCCCTAAATCTTGTTAAAGTGGGCTACTCGGCTATGCAAACTCTTCCCAAGGAATATTGTATAACAGTAGCAATTAAAAAAAAAAGAATGTTATGTTATTTAAGAAAAAATAAATTAGAAAATACATGTACAGTTTAGGTTAGATCAGGTTTGGTGGCTTAGTTTTCTTTATTTTATGAATGACAGATTATTGAATGTAGCTGTACTCTGTATCTAAAAAAAAATCTGAAACAAACCAATGTTCTTACTCAAGTAAATAAGGCAAACAAAGGCAGCTTCTCTGGAGATGGAAAACATAACAAATAATAAGTGATGTTTTCCTTGCACCCTTTCCTCAAGTATTACCAACAACTGTAACGTAGACGAAAGTGCTGGTTAATTAAGCCTGGTAATTCTAAGATAACTGATTTTTCATAAGGTGGTTGAATAACATAATAAGTGTAATAATTCACCTGTACATTTCCTAAACTTTACTGAGAAACAAAGACCTATGGACAAGGCTTATATCTACAGTAGTACCCAACACTGCAAACCTTGTGATATACACCTATTACTCTCTTGAACATTTAGAATAGGTTGTGTTTTGAATTTATGAAGGAGAAATATTATGTAATGTAAAGTAATTCAATGAAGTACACTGATAAACATGTTAAAGAACCACTTACAACATTATAACACCCTGGCGCTGTTTACTACTGGAGCCACAAGAGCACAGTGATGCATTAACCTATTGAAGCTATATAAGAACAATATTAATATAGAATTAGATATTTTAATTATTTTTATATTCACACTATTTTTATTTAAGTAATTTATATATGTATATTTATAATTTTAAGAGTGGTACTGTATATGTGGAAGGTCACTAAAAGAACCCCCAGCAGCAGCGGCTCTTGATAACAACACCACGCGGCGGCTGAAGGAGGGAGGTGGCTGAAGGAGGTGGCCACGAGGTCCACCACACACGAGGTCCTCCTATAGGTTTACTCCTCTCGTGAACCTGTAAATCATGCCTCCATTATATATAGTACCATGGTTTTCAATGTAAGTTGAGGAAATAAGGTGTTTTTTTTGTAGTTTTACGTGAAGACCTGGAGGTGATTGTCTTTTATTAGTCTTAGATTTATAGATTCCTAAGAAGAAATATTTTAAAAAGTTCTTCTTTTCAGACAAGAATGGCTGGAAGTATATGAAGGAGCTTTTTCTGATGACATTAGTCGCTGGAAAGCTGCACTAAATGCCATGATTGTGTGGCAGGCAAGGTAAGCAAATGGATGAATTAGGTCTTATTGTAGCAACAGTTTAATATTGTTTAAATGGTTGGTATGTTAGAGGTATAAGTGCTATGCTATTAAAATAAATATGTATGTCGTTGCTTTTATAAGGTGTATAAAACCACCATAAATTCTAGCCAGTCCAGAAACAATGAAAATGTCTGATGAATGTCTGATGATGGTTACTGAATACAATACATTACTTGTGTTTGGCATACTGTACATGTAGAGTAAGTACTTCCCTGTCTGAAGTACTGTCACCCCGTCTGGTCCCCAAGTTATGCTAGGGACTGTCAGTTGATTGAAAATGTCCAAAGGAGGGCCACCAGACTGTTGCTTGCACTATGGCACCTCAGCTACCCTGAGAGATTGGAATGCCTGAACTTGCGTAGCTTATACTACAGACGGGCAAGGGGTGACCTAATTGAGGTGTATAAGCATCTCAAAGGGCACTACTCAGTTGAGTGTCCTTCCTTGGAGCTGGCGGACACTCGCCCCTCAAGGGGTCACAGCTCTATGTTGAAGAAGCCACAGGCAGAGAAAACTGAGGTTTAACTTTTTCGGAAAGAGAGTTGTGAACTCTTGGAGCAATCTGCCAAGTGTGAGCTCTTTCAAGACCAGACTTGACAAGCACTGGAGCAGGTTCAGATACATTCAGGAGCCGGTGCTTGCCCAGTATTTGCCAACAGTGTGTAACAGAGACGCGACTGATCGCCCAAGCGGCTAACGAGATGATCAGTGGTGAAGAGGATAAAAAAAAGAAGTACAGTGAAATGTGAAAGGGCCATTGGGCTGAATAACTTTATATTAGAAATATTGAAGAAGTGAGGTGCCAGAACACCCATTCATAGAGTTAGCCTTATCTGAGGGACTCTTCAGCATTCTAACACACAGAAATTTCCTTGTCAGATAAAACTAAATTAAGCTCTAATCCTCTTGCTCCAGGAAACTTATGAGTCATTAACTACTGAACTGTACATCTGGAAGGATAACTGGAACAGGTTTGTTTCACTTACATTCATCAGTGATGAACTTGACTCCTGTTGTGTGGCAACTTATCATGTTCCACTTCTGCACAGGGGCTCGATGAGAACACTGTTAAAACTAATTTTATCTATGTATAATCAATATATGAGTACAATATTCATTTAACTAAGTCAGCAGGATAAAGGAGGTTTATTATAAAAGTATATCAAGTAAACAACTCATTATGACATCATTGTAAGTAAGAAATAGCAGAAGATCCAGGTATTTGAACTACCATCTTGTGTGGGAGTTGTAGACTAATAGGAGCACATGTATAAAGGGTTGTAATAAAGATTTTGGGAGTTGGTCATACAACCTGCTTGCTCGTATCAAACATCTTTTATGATCAATGTGTGACAGGAAAATATTGTCACTGTGGTTTTCAGTATTAGTTGCTTGTGAAAGCTATTTTTTTTTATTACATTACTCATTCTAGCATTAAAGCTACTCATTGCTCTTATACTTTTCAGGGTAGATAAATTACCTTCTGGTATTGATGTGACATTACCCTTACTTCAAGCCAAGGTGATAGATGCAGATCCCACTGTTGAAAAATCTGTCAAATCTGTCTTATTAGCAACAGCAATACAGAGGTGAGGTACTTTTATGTTTAACATTCTTTAAAGTCCTCCCCACTTAATGTAGGATCATTGGAAATAAGCAGATACACACTCACAATATCACATTTTCTTTTCATTAATTTTCATTTACTCGTTATTACTACTGTAGAAAGTTGTCAGTTTGGTTATATTTTTAGTTTCTACAGATACCTGTACAATAGCTTACTTCAATATTCTGACACTCACAGTGCTGTTAAGTCTACGTACAGTACAGGTATAAGCTTATAATCACCGTGTAACTTTTCATAAATTTCATATTTAGAATGTTCAAGTCTTGTGAAATTGATTATTTTGCTAATTAGATTTTTGGTTGGCAGATATTTTGTTCTTTGTTACCAAAGGAATGCAGGCGTGGAAATATGACATGAAACATTTATTTAATTTTGTTAGGACATTTTAAAAAGATTTTATTTATTTTCAACTTGTCTTTTAATTTTCCTTCCTAGGTTTGTGAGCTCAATTGTAAAGCTGCCACAGACGAAGTACTTTCAGAAACAGTCCATGCATGACCTTGCAACAGATATTGGATTACCTCTTCATCTAGTTGATCTTCGAAATGAAATTATACATGGCAATGGGGGTTGGACAGGAGGGCAGACAGTTCATCATGCCCTCGAGACAGCATATAAGTGGATTAAGGTATGTACTGCGTACATTACTGTACTGTACATACAAATAATAACTGGTGTTCAGTTGTTTAAGGTTTAAGAAGATGTTTCCTCTTTTTCACAATTCAAAATTACAGTACTGTACTACATACATTTCATCATAGTTTTACCAGAGATGCACCTGCTAAGTTTATTCTACTTTAATTAAATGTAGAAAGTACTGTACTGTATATAGAAGTTTATATTATACCTAGCCACTTGAACCAGTTTAGGATATTCCTTGATTGTTGCCATGTCAAATTCTGTCTGGTAGATAGATGCCTTGTATTGAGCATCTGTCTCCCATGTACTGTACAGTATCAGTTGTATATCCTTGTGTTAACTTATTCAGGTTGTCAACTAAACTTATTTAAGGTATTCTTATGCATTCAGTAAGCTTTTACCATGCTCTTGTATACATTTTATTGTGAAGTTGTAACTAGATAATTATTTTTATTTTATTCTTGTAGGGTTATTACTGGGATGCTGAATCTAAGGAGATGCAAGATCAGTCTGAGGAATCCACACCACCCCAGATACCACAAGATGAATGGTGCAAGTTCAAGAAAGTCATGACCATGTATGCTGCTACTCTATTATCTGATGCAAGGACTGCAAGTAAAAAAATGTGTCTTCAGAAAAAGGTAATTATTTTGATACATAATCTAATTTCATCTTGGACATGCAAAGAATCTTTACTGCAATAAGATAGCATTTAAATATCATTATAATTAATTGTATGTACAGTATATCTCTCGGCCTTGAATGAGGGGGACATGTCAGAATGGTTGTTCTGAAGAAGTGAAGGTCTATTAAGAGCTGTGATCATCCTTTTTTCCATCCTAAAGTATTCTATTACACATTGTAAATAATAGTTGTAAGGTACAGTATAATCTTGTGAAGGTAGTCACTTGATATATCAATTCTTACTTGTGACAACATTGGCATCCCAGCAAAGATCTCCCCTCCCCTTCCCCTCAATAGACAAAAAACATGAATTTTGTTAAAAGAAAAAACAAGGCATATGACAGTTTGTAGATTAGATAAGAATTAAAGGTTTTCTTAAAGACACAACTGATTTTCACTTAACATGAATTCCATCATTTAAAAACACTAACAAATTATAACTCACCTTGAGACTGAACAACTGCTTCTTGGAGTGATGGAGTAGTAGAAGTTTGGGCATTGTAAATTGTATGTGATTTGCATTGGTGTTGTTGGCCAGTGCCCATAATGCCATCTGTTAAGGGTGGCGAAAGTTTTTAAAACATCAGCTGATTGGTTGTTTTTGTTTGATATTAATCCTTAAAAAACATATTTAATGCTTCTCTGAAAAATGAAACAAAACATACTTAATGATCATCTTAGATTAAAGGTTACAGCCTCAAGTTAAAGAAAACACAAATATAGCCAATTTTGTCAGGGCTAACTTTTCTAACTTTTGTGGAGAAAGAGTTGTGAACTTTTGTAATAATAACCTGTCAGAGAATGTTGTGACAACACTAAGTGGGAGTTATTTGAAACACAGACTTGGCTAATGTTGTGTGGTGGTAATGTGCATTTCTCTCACAACAGTGGCCAGGGTTCAATCCCCAGCCTGGGACAGATGTGAGAAGGGTGACCATGCAGGTTTTCTCTGGGGCCCTCCTGTACTAACACTGGGCAATAAAGATTATAACAACTTAATAAAGAACAGACTATGGGCACAGTACTCCTTTATATTGTTTAGTGTCTCTTTATTGACCGTATTTACATTGTTATGTTTGGGATATTATTGCTTTTTTGTATGGGCTGGATTGTGTTTTTACCTCGCCTGTACTTGTCCTAATGTTTCTTGGAAAAAATTACTTAGTTTTGCAATGCTAATTACATGCCCCTTACGATTTTGGGGAAGCACTCTTTGGTGTTTTTGTGTTTCTTAGCGCATTAATTTTGAATTCCAAGATAAAAAATAGTTTCCGGGATGATTTCTTAGTAAACTTGTATATCTATTTCCAGGCTTGCAGATACTTGGTGTGGAACCTAGAAAGTTTGTATCCACATAATCCACAAGAATTTGTAGAGGCTATTGTTTCGCATCTACTAATTCCAGAATCCATACCAGATCTTGAACAGCGACTTAAGTGTGGTAAGTTTGCTAAGTCAATGACTTTTGATAAATTTTTAACTTAAACCTTTGTCAGTTATTTTGTTCTATGTACTGTGTATAATTGAAATAGCGTATACTGTACTGTACTGAAGCTTTTGGTGTTGAGTTTCTGAGTGAAATAATCATCAATGTATTTTTTTACACTTAAAATCATTCATTAATCCAACTCAGTATACTGCAAAGCCCCTCTCTGGTTTATTCCACTATATACTGAATAATGATTTCTTTAGTTCCACATGTAGAGTTGTCAGAAAGGATAAGATAAATGTAATCCACAGTCATATGGGGCCTTTAGTATGATAACAGCGAACTAAACAAATCAGTGTTTTGGGTAATTGCTGTTTTCTGTTTTCTGTACATGTCCATTATACCCCTAATAACTAAAGGTAATTTGCATGTGAATAAGGGCGAACTTCCACTCTGGAGATCTCACCATCGTATAGAGGATATAAAAAATTTTCAGGCATCACAGAAAACGTTTTTTTCAATGGTGGGAGTCTGACCTTCTCCTGCTTAATGCCTCATATTTGGCCCATTAACTGACATGGCAATACTTCTAATCATTTCACTCCTGTGTACCACCAGCTGGTCCTCGTGGTTGTGGATGCTTCTTCGAGAACCGCGTCATTTCTGGAGTGGATCCAATATTGTGTTCACTGCACGAGATGGAAGGGTCAACAGAGTTACTGTTCACCTGCCTCATCAAGAAAGGTCGTGGTAAGTCTGAAAAGGAATATGTAAACCAGAATTGTTGATCATAATAATGTGTTATTTAGTAGAATTGTAAACAGTAAAACACATTACAGTATTTATAATTTTTAAGAACTGGATTTCCACTTGGAGATTTATTTATTTGATTTTGCATGTAGGAAATTTTCAAAGATCCTTAGTTTTCCTCTTATGTTAAAAGATCTTTGTTGTTTGATATTTTGGAGAACACGTTACTGTAGTTTGATGATGGACTTCACAATTTTTTGCTGCCTGTAGTATGGTGTTTGATCTTGTAAAAACTAGATACAGTATACTGTATAATTGTACAAAATGAGAATTAATTTTAGCTTATATTTTTCAGAAAATTCCAAAGAAGCATCAGAATGGGTCCGTCTGTTGGCTGCGGGTATTCTTGGGCGCTCTGTGTTTTATTATCAAAAAACCCACTGCAGGAATCATGACCTAAATTTAGATAAGAATCTGGATGTCAATTGGGAGACAGTTGTTATGGAGCTGCTGGAAACAGAGTCAGAATGGGGCTTTGCTATTGCTACCAGGTTTGTACACAATGTTATTTAGTTATTTAACACTGCACCTTCAATTGTCTTCACCTTCATAACTGTAGTATTAGGTAGCCATTCACAACTCGGTGGACTAGGGGTGCCCCAGGCAAGGGCCAGCAGCCCTTAGGACAGGAAACTTAAGTGCTGTGTCCACTCAACAACAGCTACAGTACCGCCTCCTCCACATTTAGGCTCATGCACCCATTGACCCAATTTATCAATTTCGGGTGTTTCTTTACAGAAAAATATATGTTTTGTGAGGTATGGCTGTTTGAGGGATATTGTATAGGGTTCATGTATCCTTGACCCCATTTATGCATCACCACATGTCTCCGTATGTCCTATAAGTGAGTGGTTTAGGGTACTGATGCAGCTGTATTATTTTTTTTTTTTTGTATATTGAAAGGTGTCATGTGATGGTGACAGGATTCCATTTCTATTTATAGGTTGTGTGTGATAATTAAAAATTATGGGGTTTGGGCCCTTGTTTTCTGAGAATCCTTTATTCAGTATCTCGGTATGGATGCTACCATTGTTAGTCTGAGGTGGAGAAGTACCTGTACTACTACATCTCATTGGTGTTTTTAGGTACAGTATACAGTACTGTACAATATTTGGTGGAAATGGTCCTTTTTTATGCAATTTAACTCTACAGCTTTGGGTACAGAGTTGAAAGGTCATGAAACAAACTGATTAAGTAGTCCAGTATATATTTGTTATTGTTTAATTATTTATATTGTTGTTACAGGTACTTACTGAAAATTGCCAGGGTATTATATTATTAGACTTTTCTTGTTTTACAGAATCATGAGTTGTCCTGAGACAGGCTTCTCAAAATCACAAAGGGAAGATGTAGAGGAGTTGTTTCAAACTTTGAAAGGCAGTACCAAGGAGGACTTGCAACAAGTGAAAGCTTCCAAGAAGGCATTAAAGGATGTCACTTACACCATTGATGATGTTATCAAAGTTGCTGAGAAGCACTCTGAGAATACATTGACTAAAATGCAAAAGTTGAAGAACTCCATAGAATTTCTTGGAACAGGTACAGTAATGTTTAATTTAGTACATTTTAATTCTATAGTATTAGCTGTATACTGTATATGAGGAAGATGAACATTAAAAGCCAAGAAATGATGTGGTTGAAAGCAACTTGTGGACTATAAAGGAGTAAGGGAATAAGAATTACATCCCTTAATTTTAGCTGCATTGATTTATGAGTGTTTGTTTTAACATAATACTACAAAAAACAATGTTTTGTTTATTCTAGGAGAAGGACTGAGGTGCATCTGGGTAAACTCTCAGTCTTTTTTTAGTATTTTGTGTTTCTCTCAAGTACCAAACTAAATTATTCCATTAAAACGACACTTCGATTTAGTGCGAATTCAGTAGTTTTATCTAAATGTGAGAAAGTTGAGTCAGTGTTTTCACTTACAGTATCTCTTTACACAGATATAACATATGCAGATGCTCCTCTTGGGATTCTGCCTCATCAGAGGGACAACCCAATCTTCTACAAAGAACTTCTACTTCATCGTCCAGACATAAGTGAAGATATTCCTTTGCCCAAGAGGTGTCGGATATGAAACTTTAGGATTAATGGGTTTATTCAGTAAGATGCAAATACTTTTAAAAGATACAATTTAGGGAACTTCATGTGATATGTAATATTATTTTTGTTGTACGATAAACTAGTATATTATGTCTGTAATTGTCTATGAATTTATAGTGCACAGTATGTGAAAATATTGTAAACTACAATAATGATAAGTTTGTATGAACTATAAAGATTAATACAGTATTTGCCTCAGTTGTGTGTTTACTTAAGCTGGATATACGAGTGATATCTCCGTTAGCCAGAACATTTGGTGCAGAGCACTGCTGGGAATGAGAGATTTCTGGGTAACAAGACGACTCTCTCAAAACTGGAAAAATCTCTCATCCTCGGAATTTTCCGGGTAACAGGTAAATTTTCTCTGAAGTTCCATAATTTGCTCATTACATCATCTCTCAAACCTGGAAGGAAATCCCCAATCCCTGGAATTTTCCTGGGCACTGCAATTTTCCAGAATGATTCATTATTTCATCTCTCGAACCCAGAATAAAAATCCCCCATCCCTGGAATTTTCTCAGAATTTTCCAGAAAATTTCAATTCCAGCTATTGGAGACTTCCGGTTAAGAGGGATTCTGGCTAACAGAGATATTACTATACTTACAGAAGAGAATTAAGAGTATTCCATATACAGTACAGTATGCCCGGATAATTCGCGGATTTTTGTTTAGCGGTCCTCTATTATTCGCGGTATGACACTGGATGTACCCAAGAATACTGCAGGTAGTTTTAAAGTTGCTGGCGTTTTCGCGGCCGATACAGGGAAACATTCGTTCTAGAGACAGTAATTTCCTTTACCTGTAATGTATATAATAATAATAAAAATAATTAACGGTTTATTGAAAGAGCATGGCAGCCGGAAAGCTGAAAATATACAGTTACATAATTGGAGAATGGGTCTCTTGGTTTACAAATAATACACAAGTACAGTCAGTTCTGCTATAAAGCGATAGTTGTGTTCTTGTAAAACCTCGCGTTGTAGAAATTCGCGCAATAGATATAACAGGGCTTATGGAGAAAATAGGGTTAGGTGCAGATTACTCAAAATTGAAAAAAATTTAGTAGTTAGCCTAACACAAAGGATAGCACAGTCTAAATAAAGGTTACATTCATATCTAATAATGAAATCATACAGTAAATGTAACACTTTACCTTGCAAAAATATGAATATAACTTGATGGGGGAGAAAAGGGTGATTTTGAGGTTGATAACTTCGAGCTTCCCTTCAAGTGTTATAGCCTTTCTTTTACGATCATCGGGAATGCGATCACCACAACGCTTCTTGGAGATATTCTTCTTTTCCATATTCAGTTAATACCACAAAATTGGAGAAATAGTAAGCAAAAATCGCGTTACAGCAAACAAGTGTTTTACAAATATTGTTCTTCTATTCATAAATCGTGTTGTCAAAACACGCGTTATAGCAGAACTCACTGTAACATAAGTGATACAAATATGATATACTGTATAATAACTAGGTGGGGAGAGGCTCAAACTACAGGGCATTTCAACATAGTGACAGTGCAAAAAGTAAGACAGATTGGGAGTGAATACACTGGTTGATCATAAGTTATTGATAATTTTTACAATGGTTGGAACTGGGATGTTCTTAAAGCGATCAGTTCGTGCTTGTATGGGCTGGATGCGGTTGTGGTTTCAAACAGCAATTCTGGGGGTAGGGATCTCAGGTGGTAGTAGGAGCCGGTGTCGAGGATGTTGCAGAAGCTTCTCACCAAATTTGCAACCTTCGCCCTGAGCTCCTGAACGCAGCTAAGGCGGAATTCAACAGACTCCTGCAAGACGGCATCATTCGACCTTCAAAGATTCCCTGAGCATCGCCTCTTCACATGGTTCCAAAGCCATCTTCCAATTACTGGAGGATATGTGGTGACGACAAGGCCCTGAACCTCGTCACCAAACCTGACAAGTACCCTATCCCGCATGTCCAGGACTTCCACCACAAACTCTAAGGCAAGACCATCTTCTCGAAGATCGACTTGGAGCGTGCCTTCCATCAGATTCCCGTGGCACCTACAGATATCCAGAAGATTGCCCTCACCACTCCGTTCGGTCTCTTCGAGTATGCTTACATGAGTTTTGGACTATGCAATGCAGATCAGACCTTCCAGAGGTACATGGACCACATGCTTCGCGACCTCGACTTTGTCACTGTCTACATAGACGACATTCTCGTCGCATCTCCGTCGCCTGCCGAGCATCATCACCACCTACAGCTCCTTCTCCAACGCCTGCAGAACAACAACATGAAAGTTCATCCCGCTAAGTCTTCAGACTCTCCCCCATCGACTTCCTGGGTCACAGAGTCTCGTCGAGCGGCATCCAACCCCTACCACAGAAGATAACTGCCATCAAGGAGTTCCCCAGACCTGAAACAGCGAAGAAGCTTCGAGAATTCCTGGGTTTAGTCAACTACTACTACCGGTTCATTGCCCAGACTGCTAACATCCTCGCTCCTCTCCACGATCTTCTCAAGGGACTCTCCAAAACATCTCACAAGCCTCTCATATGGACTCAAGAGGCTTTTACAGCATTAACCACTATCAAGCGGCACATCACATGCCTTACCCTGAACATGCTGCTTAAGGATCTGTTAACCAAAATTTGATATCTGGATTATTGCTTGTTCAAATGATTTTTAGAAAATTTTAGTTACTTTTGCAATGCTAATTACTCGCCACTTATGGGTTTTCGAGGTCATTTCTTGGTGCTTGTGGATTATTCTGGATGTACTTAAATAGTTAGGCACATTATATTTTAGTTCTGAGAGAAATGGTATTTTTGGCCAAAAATCCTGTAAGGGGTAAGCCTTACAATTTCGTTCAAAAAAATAGATTTTGTTGAAAATCTCAGTATAGGTACTCCTGAACATGCTGCTTAAGGATCTGTTAACCAAAATGTGATAAATGAATTTTTGCGCGTTCAAATGATTTTTAGAAAAGTTTTATTACTCGCCACTTATGGGTTGTCGAGGTCATTTCTTGGTGCTTGTGTATTATTCTGGATGTACTTAAATAGTTACAGTGGTCCCTCGGTTAACGAACACAATTCGTTCCAGAAGGTTATTGGTTAACCGAAAATTTTGTTAACCGAAAACATTGTTTTAATGGGAGTTTGGGTAATTGGTTCCAGCTCACCGAAAATTACATACAAACTAAAAATAAATGCAGTAAAGTACACTAACTTTGAGGTGTGCATGTAGAAGGCACCTGGTTGATGATGATGGAAATTAGAATAGGGGTGGAGGAGAAAGGAGAAGAGAAGGCATTAGGGTGGAAGGCACCTGGTTGATGATGATGGAAATTAGAATGGGGGTGGAGGAGAAAGGAGAAGAGAAGGCATTAGGGTGGAAGAGATGTCACCCCATGCCGCCATTTCACCGATAAAATTTTAGTTCACTTGGTGTAATTCAAGATTATTTTCTTTAAATCAACACTGCACTGCATTATTTATTGTCAACATGTAAAATAAATTTCAGAATGACCAATAATTGTACTATAAAAATGTAAAAATAGTTTATGTCCAAGAGAGTCTCAAGAAAGAAGCTTCCTCCACTGAGCAGGGAGACACACTGACGCCATTTTGGGTGTGTTGAGTGGCAGTTTGGCGCGCTAAAAACTAGTTCCCTGTACTTCAATTATGTTAAATAATTATGTTAAATAATTGTTAAAATGAATAAAAACTTTAATATAAGACTTGGAAATTATTGAATAGTACAACCTTCTTGATATTTACTCAAATGGTAACGAATTTAAGCCCTAAAACCGATTACTGGATTGGCGGACTAATACTATAGCTGGTGAGCTGGCGAAAACATGTTGGGAAAAATTCGTAAGGAATTTGTTAACCGAAGTGAAGAATCTTATGGAAGGTAATTCGTTAACCGAAATTTCGTTAACCGAGGCGTTCGTTAACCGAGGGATCACTGTAGGTACATTATATTTTAGTTCTGAGAGAAAAAGTATTTTTGGCCAGAAATCCTGTAAGGGGTAAGCCTTACAATTTTTGGCATTTCATCCAAAAAATGGATTTTGCTCAAAATCTCAGTAAAAGTACTCCTGAACATGCTGCTTTAGGATCTGTTAACCAAAATTTGATATCTGGATTATTGCTTGTTTAAATTATTTTTAGAAAATTTTAATTACGGTACTTTTGCAATGCTAATTACTCGCCACTTATGGGTTTTCGAGGTCATTTCTTGGTGCTTGTGTATTATTCTGGATGTACTTAAATAGATAGGCACATTATATTTTAGTTCTGAGAGATTCGGTAATTTTGGCCAAAAATCCTTACAATTTTGCCCCAAAAATAAACTTTGTTCAAAATCTCAGTATAGGTACTCCTGGACATGCTGCTTAAGTATCCGTTAGCCAAAATTTGATACCTGGATTATTGCTTGTTCAATTTATTTTTAGAAAATTTTAATTACTTTTGCAATGCTGATTACTCGCCATTTATGGGTTTTCGAGGTCATTTCTTGGTGCTTGTGTATTATTCTGGATGTACTTAAATAGTTAGGCACATTAAATTTTAGTTCAGAGAGAAAACGTATTTTTGGCCAAAAATCCTTTAAGGCTTTAGACTTACAATTTTTGTCATTTCGCCAAAAAATGGATTTTGTTCAAAATTTCAGTATAGGTACTCCTGAATGTGCTGCTTAAGGATCTGTTAACCAAAATTTGATATCTTGATTATAACTTGTTCAAATGGCTTTTAGAAAATGTTCAAATGATTTTTAGAATATTTTAATTACTTTTGCAATGCTAATTACTCGCCACTTATGGGTTTTCGAGGTCATTTCTTGGTGCTTGTGTATTATTCTGGATGTACTTAAATAGTTAGGCACATTAAATTTTAGTTCAGAGAGAAAACGTATTTTTGGCCAAAAATCCTTTAAGGCTTTAGACTTACAATTTTTGTCATTTCGGCCAAAAAATGGATTTTGTTCAAAATTTCAGTATAGGTACTCCTGAATGTGCTGCTTAAGGATCTGTTAACTAAAATTTGATATCTTGATTATAACTTGTTCAAATGGCTTTTAGAAAATGTGCAAATGATTTTTAGAATATTTTAATTACTTTTGCAATGCTAATTACTCGCCACTTATGGGTTTTCGAGGTCATTTCTTGGTGCTTGTGTATTATTCTGGATGTACTTAAATAGCTAGGCACATTAAATTTTAGTTCTGAGAGAAAAAGTATTTTTGGCCAAAAATCCTGTAAGGGGTAAGCCTTACAATTTCGTCGAAAAAAAGAGATTTTGTAAAGCTTACCCCTTACTGGTGTGTGTGTGTGTACGCTCATATATAGTATGGTTCTATCTGTGTAGTCTTCTTGGGTATACAGTACAAAGCTCCAGGGTCGTATTGTAATTTCCTGCCCATATTTAGTCAGGTCCTAATTCTTGTGTTTACATTCACAGAAATTATGTGGATTGAGCGTTGGTGTTGAGCCTGATGTTAGGCGGTGTATTGAGTTCACAGGATGTTGTCCAAGTCAACTCAGGTATGTGTTATTATCTCTAAACACACTTAGCTTATTATTATATTATTAGTGTTATATTATTTTATTATTATACTTTTTATTAATGTTTATATTTATATTATTATTATTATTAAAGTTTTATCATTAACAGTGATAATGATTATCAATAATACTTTGCAAAAAAAAAACCGATAACAGTAACTGACAGCAACGACAGCTATATCAACACGACATTGACCTGGTCGAATACACACATTTTGTTTTTGTTTTGAACGTTTTTACCACAAAACCGATTTACAGATGAGTGAATAAAACCCACGCCAAATTGCGCCCGATTTTTACGCGTTTTAGAGATCCCCCCAAAACACTATAGCAGACAGTATACGTGAAACTACTCTTTATATTTAATTCTGGGATATTTGTTTATTTTGTTGTGCTTAGAACTATTACTTATTTTTGTCTACCAGTTAATCTGTTTGCCGTGCTGTTTGACTTAATTTGTCTACAAGTTACTTT